ACCACATCTAACCATGCAAAACGAAACCAGATAAGGTTCGGGGACATGCTCCCAATGAAATGCTTAAAATATGGTTTCCAGAATAGCTATTTCCTGCGTTCTGGGGATATTTTGAACGAAAAAAGGTAAAAAGAAGGCATCCCAAACCATAAGGGAGGCCGCGAGCTTAACGGAAAGACAGTAGAGTTTTAAAGTACTAACCAGCTTTGTTGGGAGCTGCTTGTCGTCTTTCAGAGCTTTCCAGACTGATTGACATGCCGTCATTAATTCAGTGAAACCAATGTCCACATCAAAATCAAAGATAAGAGAGGCAAAATTAAGGCAGCTTGTGTGGAAGTTAGAAATACGGTCGACCTCAAGGTCATTTTCGCCTGCTGAAATCATTGCCAGGTCCACTAGAGTACTTAATGCACTTGTGTCTGAAAAACAAGATAATGAATATGTTTTCAGTTTTAGTAGGATTTATCCTCGGATTTCAACGGTTATACCTTAACCGTATTCAATTTCGCAGTTTTGGCAAGAATATGTCTGCGATGCTTTAATTTTGAAAGAGGCCATACCGTTAAATCCTGGTTATAAGCCCCCCTCCCTCCACCCCCCGGTTATACGCCCATCATCACGTGATTACATTGTTCTCCTATTGTTCGAAGAACAAAAAAGGCCTTTAAAGAAGTATAAACCCACGGCAGAGACAATAGGAAAAAGAGACTGTGAGACTGTGTTAACAAAGCTTTTTCTTCCGATAGTTTTTAATTACTACACTTCTAACCATCGTCCACATCCTTGTGTTTGTTTTTACAGCTAGATAGATGGTTTAATAAGCTCACAAACTATTCGATATGTAAAGTTTAATTTGGGCATAAGTTTTGATTGGAGAATGATGTTCCATGGCAAACTTAATTTGTGTGTTTATTCTCTTATTTTACTATATATAGTGGAAATTATGAAATAAATAAATGAATAAAAAATAAATAAATAAATAAATAAATAAAATGAAGGAAGGAAGGAAGAAATGTTCTTTACCTTTGATGGTCTCTCTTAGCCATATAACTAACGGTTGGCAATCAATAATCGCACGGAGACATTGTGCGTTTTCAAGAGATATTACTCTTAAGGAGTCATTCGCATGGGAGAAATTCTCGCCGATACTGTCGAGCCTCTTTTCTTTAAATTCCTTTGAATTCTGAAAAATAAAACAAATCCATCACCAAAAATATCATCAACCTGTTGCTACGTGTAGCTAATGTACGAATGTCTCAGTTTTACGAGGGCAGCACCTCAGGTTCGATGTCCTGCAATTAGCATCTTATGTGCCACACAGCAGACTTGTGTGGCATGGCTGTAAAGAAGCTTTTAGCTAAGCACATTGACCACGTTAAATAAAGTTTGTTGTTGTTGTTGTTGTTGTTGTTGTTATTATTATTATTATTATTGGATCTCTCCCTGGATTCGAGGGTTTTTAGTCTCTGGGTTATTTGGTTCTTCTCCCTCCATTCCTTTTTTTAAAGAAATGTTTTATTGAAGAAATAGAAAACGCGCGCGCGTGCTGTGTGCAGCACGCGGGGGTTGACAGAACACGGGAGAAGTGTTATGAGAAGCACGACGCGTATACAACACATGCATTAAACACATAATTAATTAATTTCAAATACAATATTTCGACTACATCATCTTCTCACATGTTCCACAGCAACCGAGATATGTACATCGAGTCAACTCATCCTTACACTGTCCAACCCAAAATCCCAACAACTGAACAGCTCTCTACATAAACGACACCGAACCGAGTCGCACTTAGAAGCGACGCACCAGCAGCGCACGCACAACATCCGTGCTTTACTTGGAATCAAGTGCGAGACCCCCCGACGTAAGATTTCGACGCACTACTGCCGTCTACAGCACATGAATGTGTAAAGAACTATACTGTCACAAACAGAAATAACTGTTACTTACTTGACGATTTAGTTCGTCAATAATAGTAAAATCTCCCCTTAATTGAAGTGATTCTTTGAACTGCCAAACAGTCTCTACAGCTAACATGCCGTTCTGAAGACTATTGTAAAGATTTATTTGCGACGCTCGTTCTGAAACTGTTTCATCCAACGTGGTTTTGTCCACATCTATGACTTCGAACAAGATTCTCAGCTCTTTCTCTAAATCTTTGACTTTCTTGAAGTTTTTGTCTATGCCCTTAAGACTAATAGAACCATCTTTAGTTTCCTTTGCAAGGTGTTCTAATTTGTCGATGGCGGGCTTCCAGACTTCATTTTGTACTTCGTCCAAGGTGAATCCACTCGATTTGTCTACCCGCTTTGTCCACGCAGTTTTGCAATATTTCGACCAGAAGGTACAAAATATTACGCTTTTTGAAGCAACGACAAGCTGAGAGAGCATAGAGCGGAAACTCTTAGAGAGTTGTCCGAAAAACACCACATCAATCTCTCCATCTGGTGCTTCGTCGCTCTGTGGAAGGCGTCTACACAACTTTACTAGTGGTGTGTCCGAGATATCACAGTTTGCTTTTGAGTCAAGGGAGGCGAAATCAAATGAAGCTGAAAAATGTAATAGCATGATTACTTTTTCTTGTCGCATACAAAAATAAAGGTTGGTGAAGGTTTTGTTGCACTATCGGCAACGCGCAAAAGATCACTTCAATAAGGCATTTTCCCAACCTTTTTCTGCATGTTTTTCTAGCATATTTTCTCCCGTGCTGACATTATTTACATATGAATACAAAACATTTTTAGCTGAGTGAGCAACATGCAACAAAACCTTCGCCACCGCTTAATGAAACAGCTATAGTTCTTGTTTTATGCTTGGGAGAAAAGCAGCCTTATTGGCCAACACCTCATATCTAAACTTCCGCATGCCTTTCCCCATAAACCACCGCATTAAATATAGCACCTACTACATTATGCATTACCTAGACATTTGTATCCAAGATTTGCAGTCATTTTTATTTCTTTATCACGAACTCTCAGTATTTTAACTCAATTAACTTCCTAACTTTAGAATATCTGAAAGTATGATGAACTGCCGAGGAGAAACAGTCATATATCTTTGTTATCTAAAGTCGCTGAAACAACTTACCGTAATTTCGTGACGCAGTGCAGAGGTTAATGAATTCCAGTATTTCCACTCTCAAAGTTTCAAAAGTCTGAAGCTCGTCTATTCGTTTTATTAAGCTTTTCTTCACAGATTTCTCGGTAAGAACGTCTTGCATACTTCCAATGTCTTTTTCAATACTCTTCAAAGTGGCGCACAGACTCAAAAAGGAATGCTTGAATTCCTTCAGCAGTACTAAACGTTTCACATCAACCGTTCCTTCTTCGAGTGCATACTGGATACTAATAAAATGAGTTATAACTTGATTGATCAAATTATTTGCTTCGTCTGTCATCATGTCCTTGACATCAGGCGAGCTTTTAACTTTGGCGTAGAGCTTGAGTAAGCCTTGCCATGGTTTCCATGTAAGGATATAGTGAAGAATCGTTTTGCCAACGTCTTCCGTCGTTTTGGTCATCGCTTTGCTCCAAGAATGAGTCAATACTAGTGAAAGCAACTGCCCGGCTTTGGACGAGTTTTCTTTCAAGCATTTAAGTTGCAGTGAGTTGATGCACTTTTCTTCGTCTTTCGTCTTTTAACAGAAAAAAAAAGAAGCAATGTAACAGTAAGTACAGGCAAGCTATTAATCTTTGTTCAGCCTAAGTTATCTTAGGCTGCATTTAAAGTTTTCACGGCTTGCCAGCTCAGTGCACTAGTTTTTCCATATACAGCTATTGCAAAAAGGTTGGTAAAGGTTTTGTTGCATGTTGCCTATGCATGCTGCATGTCGCATGTTGCTTTTTGCTGACTAAGCTTGCAATGTTATGTATTCATATGTAAATAATGTCAGCACAGAAGACAAAGTTTGACCTTTCGCGGATTGGATTCACATCGCCCATAATGCAGTTCGGGCTAGGTAGATATGCAGCATGAGACTAAACTTTCACAAACCTTCTTTGAAAAAGCTGTATTAAAGTGATCTTTAATGCTTTAATTAAGTATGCCAAAAAAAGAACAACAAAATCAACAAGAGCAACAAAAGTAATAATATTACAACAACGCACCAACCACAACAAACGACAACGAACGAAGACAACAACGAAAGTACTGTATTTCAAGGATGACTCACTTCTGCTATCCTCTTTGCCACCACTAACGCATGACTTTTTATAGAGTCCACCAAATTATCGTTAAATTCATTTGCTTCAACTTCACAAAATAGATCAATGGCGTCTTTGTTGCTCAGCTGCAAAAGGAATGAAACGGGTCATTTAGTAGCAATTTTAACTGAAGCAGGAAAAATCCTTAGAAAATAACAGTGCAGTGCACCGGCATTTTTCAAAGTCTATTTTCATAATGCTAAGCATTTATAATTAGGAACGTCTGATACATCAATCCCATGAAGGAGATCCAAAATAATACACAAAGTCCTTTACAGAGGTCAGTTTCCATTTGCTACGTAACGAATGGACATAACATAACCATAAAAAGACTGCAGATAAATTTTTTTTAATAAGCTGGCAATTTGTCAGGCCAGTGGCATAAATGACCTGTCGTCAAAACCCAAGTTTGACTGCTCAGAGTTCCATCCAAGTGTGAATCATTTACCAGTCAAATGGTCATGTCCGATGACCTGCACCTTTTGGAGCCTTACCACAAACATGAACACAACATTAGTAATGGCAAAGGCATGTTGAATAAAGGAAAAAATGATATTTTCTTTATACACCTAATTCAAAAAACGTTGTCATCGCCAAAGGCGATAGGCAATAGGCAGTAGGCGAAAAGCGATAGGAAATATGTCATTCCAAGGTCCAAGAATAGCTGTAATGACTTGTGTTTCTGCTTCTTATTCTCGTCAAAGTATGGACCTTAGTGTTGAGACTGATTCGATGTTCTTTGTATTTAACGAAACCATTTCCATGTCGGAATGACCTATCGCCTATCGCCTTTGGCGATGACAACGTTTTTTGATTAGGTGTATGTTTCTATAGTGCACATGGTTTGAAGCATCCACACTTAAAACAGAGCGCTGCTGGGTTCGACCGCGACCGTGGTCTTCCTGGTCAGCTGCTAAAACTATGAGGCACCGATATTAAGAGTGTTTACTTTATTGCTATAAATAACTGATGTCATCTGAATTAAGTTACCTTCTTCGTGTTAAGTTCAAAAAGGGAAATGATTTTAGCACGCCACGTTTTTGAAAGTTCTTCTTCTGAGAAATTGACCGCAAGTAATGTGTTCCATACCTAAACACAACATGAAACAATGCATATTTTATGAGTGATTCACTAAGGCCTGGTTTTCATTTGCGACGGAATAGGAGTCGGAGTGTCAAGCCAAAGAGAAACTTTCCGATTTCACTACCGACACGCTTCCGACTTCGTTTTCTGGTTTTCACTTCGTCATAAGCTGCTTCCGACTCTGACTCCAATTCCGTCGCAAGTGAAAAGCAGGCTAATATAAACCTACCAGAGGTTCGGCAAAACAAAGTATACCTTTAGCTTTTTCTTTTCGTATTCTGTGATCCGAGAAAATGACAACTCGTTTTCGATCCCAGTTTTTACTACTTTCCAAATAGCTGTAAATGTCGCTTTATGCTCCTTTGTTTTCTGATCCAGCATCTCTATCTCACTTTCATGGGAAGGCTGTTCAATGTTTTTGAGGGCCACTACTGCAAGGTTAAGGACTTCAAAAAAAGACTCTTCTTTGATTCCATATTTCTTTTGGAATTTTTCTAAAAGAAAACATGTCGACTTGGCACAGAAGATTGAGTTTTGATCCGGCTCTCTTTGGTTGCTACAAAAAAGTTAAAAAAGGATCAAAATCTAATGACAACTCGCAGATAGACACAACTCAATAGACCCAATCCATATACGCATATTTTTTCCTATACGCCTTTTCCGAGAGTGAACATGGAGCATTGTCGTCTAGCTTGGTTACGAGCATCCTTAGTTCATCATATCTTACATGGTGTTGTTTGTACCCAAGCTAGACCAGAATGCATCTTGTTTATTGAACTAAAAAAAGGGATCAATTTTTTGAATATTTGTCATTTCCGTGAGATTATAATTCTTTGTTTGAGTCTATGTAAGACAGATTTTGAAAATGTATTTAAAATGAAAATTAACGCTCATCTTGACTCCATTATCAAGGTTTAATAATCAAAGTTTCGTCTCACTATTTAAATGTTTAACAAACAATGGGTATTGATTGAGCCTAATCGGGGACATTCTTCACTGCGAATCTATCTGCTATAAACAAAATCTTGCGTCTATTACCATAAAAGAGACATGTTCCAAATTGGTTTAATAAGAATTCAAACAAATAAAGCTATAAATAAACTAAAGATTTATAGGTGGTTGAGTATTATTTTCTTACTTTGAACTGCATCCTTCTAGTCGTTGGATGAGGTCGTTCATAAATGTCGCAAATAAATTCTGTGTAACAACGAACAAAAAAGACAATCTTTATAGCAAGTATAGAAGAGAAGGATGACCACTAACTGTCCAAGTTAATAAAAAGTCAATCTAAAGTGCAATCAAATAGATTAACACACAAAGAAGGCATGTCTTATACTGTGAGAAAACTTGGGGACACTTGCAGCTTTTCTAATCTTTTATATTTTCTTTGCAGGATAAGATACCGCAACATTCATTTAATGGTTGGAGCTTTGATTTGCGCGCGGGAAAAAGAAACCACACAAACTCAAAAACAACAACAACAACGACAACGCGGCACAACCAAAACAGGAGCGGCAATACACGACAAAAAACAACAGCAAAAACAAACAATATTATAGGATAAATCTGCTCAATGTTATACATGCTGCTGAATGCTGTATCTACTAACATAGGAGCGGTCTCCCAAAAAGCTTAGAGCAACCTCTCTCGCATCTTACCGATATTGCACTCTTGGCAAAATATTTTCCTTCGCGTAGTTTCAATGAAAGAGCGTGGCATATTTCGTGTACTGGGAAAATATCGTTAGAAGATATTTCTTTGAATTCCTCGAATGGAGTGCAGCATAGAAAGAATCTGCGTAATAAAGGGTCCATTGAGAACATTGGAAGAACTTGTGGCAGAAACGTCTCTACAAACCTGAAGTATAACAAGTAGAACAAGGTTTTAAAAACTGAACGATATGTTAGCTTAATCATCATCATCATCATCATCATCATCATCATCATACAAAAATAATTATTAATGATAAATCTAAAAAAATGAAGCTATAGTTTTATGACACAAGGAGTTGTGGACGAGGCTCCATTACGACCCAAAGTTTTTAAAAAAGACGTTTTTTTTCCTATGGAAATTTGAAATTCCAAGCGGCAATTCATTGTCTACCCGGATTATATTTTCATGAATACAATACTTAATCTTTCCTTGAAGGTAAGGTGTTTTAGGGACAGGTTTACCCAGATATTGCAGTTTTGTTAAGACAGCCTGCTGGCAGAGTATGCATTTTCCACAAATGAGAACTTCGTCATGTTTATAATACACCTGAATTCCTAACCCCATCCAACGATTTCAAACATTTTTTTTTTTTACAATTTTTGCACACAAAAAAGACACTTACTTGTCAGGTTTGAATTGCGGAAAACCGTCTGAACAACACCAAGATTTGAGGGTTAGTTCCTGTGTGACATCGGGTTCCTCGAAAGGCTTGGAGTCTTTACGCAGGAAATGAAGAAGTGGAACTGCTATAATTGTGTCAGCTATTTTAGCAGCCTTTAACAAATGCAAAATGGCCTGGGCAAGAGACCTAAACAGGAAATTATAGTAATGAATGGGATATAACAGTGGCATTTCTAGAGTAATCCTTGTGGAGAGAGGAAAACCGGAGAAAAACCCTCGAAGCACGGAAGAGATCCAAAAAACAACTCAATTATAAGCCTCGATAAACTTACGGATGAAAGAATCAAATTAGTATACCAAAAAAGTTTATAATCACTCGCAACAGTCTTGTCTTGTATGCTTCTTTATGCTAGATGCGCAAACCCTTCACAATAAAATAAATTTTGCGCCTTGCTTTGTCTTGCAATTGGTTTAAACGTCTACTTTATTGCACGTAATTATGATTGGCTAAGATGTAAACGTCCTTACCCCCACATTTCTTCAGGAAAATGTTTATGGATCTCATCAAAGTCGCATCTTTGGCCTACGGTGTCGTTCGTACCTACTGCCAAACAACGAATGATACCTTGGACCAGAATAGGAGGTAGTTTTAAGTCAAACTCTTTAATAAGAATGGTTATCGCGAGGCATGAAACTAGACGTTCCACACGAATAGGTGGGGAACTGAGCTCTTCCTCCTTGATGTTTGCGTTTGAACTGATCTTTGGCGTCAGAAACTCCACCAAAACCTGAAAGAAACAAAAATACTGAATATGCGATAAAAATTTGTCTTCGCGTCTTCTGATGGCTCGATTTCATATAAAAAGAGGTTCCCAAATGAATAAAATAGGAATGGGAACTTTCTCATAATTCCACTGGGAAGATGGAATTTGACGGGAAACTGAGAATTGCAAAAATGGGAATGGGATAATTTAGCCCAGAAGTAAGATTATTGAAAATGCTTCCCCAAACTTTGAAAACTCTAAACACAAGAAGTTGGAAAAACGATCTGAATCACTTGTTGACTGGCTCTTAATCCAAATGAATAAATTGTCAAAACTAGCTGGGGCTGACAAATTCCGACCCCGGGGGCCCTTAAGGGCCCTGTAAAAGCTGTACCTCTGTTCGGCCATCCTTTATTTCTGTTCTCCGTATATTGACGACTCTTAAAACTCCAGTGTATGCGGGCTTACCCTCGAAACCAGTACTTACTTGTTTTGTTATTCTAATTTCTGCTTTTGTTTACCGACCTCAAAAGTGAGGCTAGACCAGCATACGATGGAATTTTAAGAGTCGTCAATACGATCCTTTCACTGTTTCTTGTCGTTTCGCATATTACTGAAACTTTCTAAATCTAAATACCTGTAGCATAGTGTATTTAACTACTGTATATTATATACGTTATTTACCAGCCAGGAGGTTCAGATAGTGAATCAAACAGCCCTTTGGCGAACTCGTGGATACTTGTTGCACTTTTCGAAGATTGGGCTCCCTGTGTTCTCCGTATGCTTGTTGACATTCAAAGTCCCTTTCGAAATCGTCACCGAGGTTAGTCGACGCGAAGTCTACGCGAAATCGAAACTAAATAATTTCCGAATAAAGAAAAGCTTTTCGAAAAATAAAATCTTGAAAAGTAGAAGCAAAGAAAAAGAACCTAAAGAACAATTAATGCTGGAGAACATTAAAAGCAAAAATCATCCTTGGCCAGGTGTAGCACTAATTCTTCAAGGGTCACGGCTCCTACATTTATTTCCTGAAGTTTTCACATGAAACTATTCATTTACACTGTGAACTAAGCGAATATTTTATCGAAATTCGCTTAGAAATGCTATCGAATTTGTCTTCATTCAAGTCTGTAAATTACTGATTTACTACAAGAGAATATTAAGTATATATTCTCTTGTTTATTATTGTTGGAGCGAATTCTCATTAGACCTTCGCACATTTCAAAATACAAAAACATTGCTTCGGCTGTTTGTATAAATGTGCGGCGATCAAGTACTTTTTATTTAGAACGGCTCATTTGGATGTCAAAATTGGCCGAACCTCCTTCAAAACTCCATTGGAATCGTTCTTTTTTTTTGTCTTTTGCTTAGTTTTCTACAATCCACATCCACATTGATTATTTTCTTATGAAGTCACTTAGTAAATACGACTGTTCTAATAAAACTTCGCTCGATCGAGTTTATAAGATTATTTAGCTGAATACCGCCGTGACTTTGAACTGTCTCTATGGAGAATAAAGGCCTCCAGAGCCTGAAATGTGACTCTCGTTTGTTGACGAAATGTTGACGTTGTACATAAGCGTTTTTCAATCTAATACATCAGAAAAAAAGGTTTAACTCATTGAAAGTCTATTTCAGGCGTTAATTGTATAATTTTACTTCAACTTGCATCTTTCCTTCATTCTTTTAATATGAATAATCCGAAGAGAAAACTATGTGCGTGTGCGCATGCACAGTGGGTGCACACGCCGTCCTAGTGCTAGACATATATCCCACATGGATAATCAGCATTTCATTTTCTCATATAAATAACATGGTAATCTATCCTTTCACTAATATTAACGTTGTGTAACGTTTGTAATCAGATGACGTAAGTCAATCGGTATTCGTTTAATTATCGATCTGCTAACATCTTAGTGAGCGAGTGAGTGACACATTTGAATATTCAGACCCTCCCAATAACTCGTTTCTACGCTTCGAGGTTTTAAATAAACGGACCGAGGCCGTTAGGCTGAGGTCCGTTTTCAAGACCGAAGGCACAGTTTTTCCACAGTTTTTTGTCCGGACCGACTTTAGGATGGCAAATAACTTTTCCCCCTTCAATTTCGACTTTTCTTGCATCCATGACTATGATCCCAAGTGCACGTGCTTATGTGCAATATGTACTTATTGACTGAGTGCATGGGAGGGCCGGAAGGGAAAATGTTTGGCTAGAGGTTATGTCGTACAAATGACCAAGAGCCAAATATTTTCCCCTTCGGCCCGACCATAGTTAATCCCCTCGATTAACTCTGGCTCGACCTAACTCAGCCAATAAGCATTTTATCATATGACCCAATTTTGGGTCGTAAAAAATAGGCTGAAAAATTCTGCTAAAATTGATAAATACAGCGCGCGCAAACAATGAGGGCCGGACCGCTTTTGGGCCGTACGGGTTTTTTTGGGCCCCCATGACGTGACCTCCATGCAAAGATCTTGTTAGATCTTATCTCTTGATAATGAGAAGAAATACCGCCCGCTCAAACAGCCAATCAGAACGTACAATTTTAGGATACCGGAACGGGGGAAAATGATTAAAGTTATTACCTTAGAAAAATTAAAACCCTGCACCAAGTTGTTAATCACACGATTTCCAATAGAAACATTAACCCATGATAGGCAACGATTCACTGCAAATGTTTGGTCTAAAGCCTCTGTAGCTGTCATTATGTCGAATTCATTGCCATCGACAAAGCCTTTCCACTTGGGAAGAAAAGYGAAGACTGCAAGTTCTCGATCTCTTATAGCTGCACGTGGCGAGAAGCAAGTGTTCCATATCTTTTCAAACATGCCTTCTCTTCGTTCGGGATAAATGACACCATCGTACTGATGCCAAACACCTAAAAAGGGGGTGACGTATTGAAGAACTATGCTCAGTATTTTTAAAACATTGATGTCAGTAAAAAGAAATAATCAATGGACCCTTCTTAAAAGTATCGTGGATGCGAGGGCATTATTTTCGTATTTCCATGTTAGCCTCGCATTAAATACAATTTTAAGAAGGGTGCATTTAACCAAAAGCGAGTTTTCCATCGCACTTACCACATCTACTAATAACCTATTAATACAGATTAGATGGGAAAAACCTTCCATAAAAACGATCTTATCATGGAGCACGTTGCCTCTGCAAAAAGATCACCATACCTGGCCGACTATAACTCCCTATAAATTTTCAAAAATACCCCTAAAAGATACCGAAACTTAATTTAAGAGGGCGTGGTTGGACGATTTTTTATCCTTAAGAGATACCCTAAGAGTTACCAAAAAATGAAAAATGTCGAAATTCTAAATTCCAATTTTAGCATCCAACTATAAAGTTACCAAATCTCTGATTTTTACCCTTAAAAGAGACACGACGAGCATGCCCGATACTTTTACCCCCCCCCCCCCTGGGACTATAAACTAAAGACTATAGTTACCGCTTTAGTCATTACGGCAGACACATGCAAGATATATATTGCTTACCACTCTTAAAGTAACTGCCTTTAGACAAATCTATAGTGCGATTCGTATAAACCTCGCTAGAATTGTCAGAAAACTTTAAGTATTCCCACTCAATAGTTGCTTCAGAAGTGCACACCACATACTTGTATTGAATACAGCACGGCAGAAACCCAATGGGCAATTGTACATGACCACAAATTTCGAAAAAGTTATCCTTGGTTTGTCTGTGAATCATGAAAAAAAGTGGAATAAGTAAGCAACAATTATGGTCTTAAAATCTGCGTTAAAAATGAAGGGGAATCAATAGCCTTATCGATAGCCTGAAACAACCTCTGGGTTGTTCTAAGTCAGGGCATGGCTAACTCACATATCGAACCCTGAAACAACCCCTGGGCTGATCTAAGTCCTCGAATCAACGGAGAGACCCAAGAAACTCTATTCACACGTGATGCCAACCTAAGACCCCAAAGGTGCTGCATGGAGATGCGAGTGCATTATTCAACCACCAGTACGCCAGTATTCAACTGGAAGTACAATGGAAGTTTTCTAGTTGAATTAATGCTTTAAAAAAGATTACGTGAGTTATCTTGAGTAAGGATGGCTAAAAGGCTTAGTACTCACCTGACAGGGTTAATTTCGACAAGATTATTATGCCATGATAAACCGAGTCTTTCGTTGCCAGCCCTAATAAAAACCCGATGCTCTCTGGGTTTAAATTCAAAACTTGGGGACAATAAACCATGAAATATGATTGTAACTTGGTCCTCATCTGACTCGATGTCATCAAGTGACAAATAACTTTCCATTAAGCTTCTGTCTTCGCTAAATGTGTGATCTTCCTTGATCTCTTTGCTGATAAAAATTGATTTGAAAAAATCAAATAAACTTGACGAATGGTACAAATTGCGATTGTAGGAAAAACTCATTAATGCGACAAAATCATCATAACAAATTTAACACTATGTCGAAATGGCACATCGTTGAAGAAATTGAAAACGTGCACGCGTTTTGCATGTGTGCAGTTACAAAGCCCGCGGGGGTTGGCAGAACACGAGAGAAGTGTTAGAAGAAGCAGGATCTCCTGCCAATCCCCAGGTGCTTTATAACTCAACACAGCACAGCAAGCAAGTTTTTTAATTTCTTTTATAAAATACAAAATACAATAACTCCGTTATTTTTTGATAGGAATCACGCAACTGAAAGTGTGCACGCGTGCTGTGTGCTCTCATAAAGCATGCGCTTCCAACCAATCAGAACGCGAGATTTATAACATTTAATTAATTAATGATTTTTCTTTCATATCGTTGTCTAATTATGTAACGGCTACTGCTAAACAGAATGCAGTACCTTTTATTTGCTTCTCACCTTTGTTCTGGTAATTGACTTTCTTCTAAAACTGGTGGCTCAAATTCACAACTGCCGTCAACTTCCTAATGGAGAAAGAGAGTCAGAATGGCTGGTTATTACCGCGATTGATAACGATTTCATACGGATTGCATTCACACCTTATATGTTCTTCTTTCTGTATCGTGAATATCATCTGACTTTTCATTTTTGTTCTTCAATCTTTTTGCACCTTCCTAAGAAGATAAGAATTGCAACGTTTTCTAATTAATCGCTTGCATGTTCCCATTGAAAGTTACCAATAGACCGTTTTCTTAAGGTTGCGTGCGCATTCAAATTGACGTGCCACAAATTTGAAAAACGCAAATTCAGTGAAATCGAGAAGCCAGTTTTATATTTAAAGAGGAGAATAATCGGTTTTATGAATTCTTATCGAAAAATTTCATAGAAATGTATGATAATTCTCATTATAAAGCTCGTGTTCTGGTATCGTGGCCCGTCAAGTTCCTTAAATTTGGATGCGCACGCAACCTTCAGAAAACGCTCTATTGATTTACAGCCTTATATTTTAGCATTCACTATTTCCACATTTCCCACAATACTTTGCAATTCTGGGGGTAACCAGGTGGGGATAAAAAAAAGCACTGTATACTAGTATGTAAACTGATCAGAAGATGTTGTAAATTCATCTTGTGATATTTTAAAGATGAATGAGAGACAACCAGAACCAAAAATCATTTTTTAACATTTCTTTGTAACAGAAGTCAATACATTTTCTTTTGGAGGGGGAGGGGGTGATCGACGGTCAGTCCTCTTAGGGATGAAAACATTTCCTGTGTGGACCTTTTCAGGGTTCCGACTCAAAAGTTGTCACTTACTTAAGATGATTCCATACCTTTTAGATCAATTGTTATATATTTTCTTTATTGACATGTTAAAGAAATTAACAGATGTTGTCCATTTACTGATTCTACGAGTTATTGGTCAGGAATGAAAAAGTCATGTGCCCGCCCTTATTGCCATTACATGGGACCTTATACCCTACCCTACAGCCAAATATAATGACATGAGCAGCTATTACCTTTCAAAACTGATTGGTTGCTGGCCGCACGCTATCTCTGGGGTTGAAATCAACATGGCTTCAACAGCTCTTTTATTTTATGGGTACCTTTTAGGGGTCTTTTTCAAAACTGGCTACTGATCACCCTTACCACTTAGACAAAAGGAGTACCCCCCCCCCCCACCCACAGACATTTTCAGTAACATTAACATTTTTTGCGCAAAGTTGTAAGCACAAAGGAGTATTAATGAAGGGGCCACCAGCAAATTTTCTGTAATAGGAAAGGGGAGGGCCTCTTAAAAATATGCAGATCAAAAGTATGACACCAGCCCTCCCCCCTTTATTAATAACTGTCCCTAAGAACACTTACTAAGTAAACTTAATTGGACCTCAACCTAATAACTTACTCTAACATCAATGTCCGATTCATTTATTGGGCTACTTCTCTTACTCCCTCTTCCATAAAATGTTTTAGCACCACTTGTGGCCACTTCATGATCAGGATGAAACATGTCCAGTTGCTCTGGCCGATTCCCTGAAGATGCTGTCCCAAAAACACACTCACTTCCCAATATATCCACTTCGCTACTTTTCAGTTGATAACCTTCAGCCAAAGGTATTTGGGTTACGGTATCACCAGTATCTGTAAAAAGAGCCCATGTTAAACACGCCTGAATAAATCTTTTCAGTTACAAACACATTTTTTTATTTGTGCAAAGACTTAGTCACCCTGGCCCCCTCACCATGTACCCAATGATCTACCTCTAAAAATGTATCTGACACTGTCTGCTTCATGCAAATTATATCCAGCTACCTACGTAGCTAGCAGTTAAAATCAGTTAATTCAGAAATGGTAGTAAATATTGAATATGCTTATGACTAACATGAACTGAAAAATAGAATCACCAACTGAGGGAGCTGATGACAAAATAAGGATCTGAAACCTTCAGTTCAATTCCTTTCAATTCTGATTTTTTAAATGTTTTATTTGTGTTTGAACTAGGCCCGGTTGTAGCATCCTCTGCAGATGTCTGATTCTTTTCTTTGAGCCTTTCTCATCTGTTACCTTGAAGTCCACCATAAAGGGGGTGGTGTGACCAAGGGAGACTGAGAGGGTAGAATAAGTGCTATCCAAGGGATAAATCGGACAGCAAGAATTTGTGCATTTGCACATGAAATCACTCAAATATTTAAAATTATTTCAGCAAAAACTTAAATTAAAGGTTAGAAATTTGTGTAGGTGATACCTTAATTTCTGTCCCTTGCTGACGAATACTGGATACTTTCGTAAAAAGTCTTTTAATTGATGAAAACACTTGGCAGGAAAGGATTTAACAGCATTTATTTAAAAAAAAWGTTGGGTAGCCACAGTTAGGCATGTCACACTGTAAGTGTCAGACTGCTACTTTTCTTTTTCATTATTTGTATTCATTTTTCTGACCCTGGCAGCTTATAATTCAAATTCCACATTGTAACAGAAGACTGTCTATTGAGTGCATCTGGCCAGACTGAACATTAATGTTCACAAGTCAAAGCACTAAATTAGCCGACAAGTATTCGATGTCCAGCACTAATTTGCAGGCTCAATCAATAACAGCATCCACTTGTCTACTGGATAAGGATTTATATTGATTGGTCTAGAGCTATTCACCATTCATGCATACAACTAGGTCCAGAAAATTTATTAAATCAGAAGTTATGCCTACGTATTCTCTTCGGAGCAGAAAACATGAAAGGATTTTGTTTCTGCTGTCATTACTTCCATCACTTCCRTTCTTTTTCACAAGATGGGAAAATAACTGAGAAATAACAGTGAAATCAGAATAAAAACACAAACCGAGTCCTCCTATTGCTATCCACTCTATTCAACTGGAAATATACCATTTTTTATATTTTAATGTGTGAAGTTATGATATCTCATTTTTTGAAATAGGGGCAAAAAAAGCTTAATGAATGTAGAATGCAGAAAGTCTTTATCATGGGTGGCAGAACCAGGGGGGCGTGTGTCCCCCACGAATTTTTTTGGGCCCCCCCCCCCCCCCAAAATTGGTTCTACGTCATAGTTTTACGGCGTATAGCGTTCAATAAATATAATATTTCAATGCCCACCAAAGATTTTCAGCTTCCGCCGCCCCTGTTTATAGACATAAAAAGAAAATTAAATTTTGACCTATGTGCCAACAAGCATTATTCACTCTCTGGTTAGCTCTGATTTTTCATGATAAGTTTATTATTTTAGGTTTAGAAGTGTGCGTATGTTTAGCTATAAACAGCCAAAAGAAACCCCGCCGAACATCCAGCATTAGACGAAAAATTAAAAAAAAAATAATATGAAAAACTTTCATACGTTTTCTGGAAGAAGAAAGCAAATGATCTAAGCTTAAAGCAATCTTTCATAACGCGTAAGTTCACTTGTAGGCTAAAACGAGTGAGCTCACATTTTATCTGTCACAAATACGAGCGAATGTAGTCAGACAAATGAGTATTTTAAAATACACGAGCTCTTTTGCATTTTAAAAAGAATGCACATTCTCTTACTTTTAGGATATATGTCAATTTACGATTTAAAAGATAAATTAACTTAAAATTAATGGAAAATTTCATACCTTGGCTATTTTCTTGAATGGAAACTTGGAGATATTCATTCTTTTTGCCTTGCCTTCCTTCTTTCTGTTCTTCCTGGAGGTCGGACCAGTCCTGACGTAAGCTTACTAAAACTTCGCCGCATTTTGGACAAAATTCGGGGTTTTCTCCAGTAATTAAAAGAAGATATACTAGGTCTGGATCCGGGCATTGAGGATTCGGGCACTGCATTCTCTCAAATAAGAATATTCATCATTTTATAACGAATAAATATTCACACATACTTTCGTCTTATACTTTCCGATAAAAATCTCTTTAAAATGAATTTCTCGGAATTCTTAGAATCATGACGTCATCCGTCCCAGTCTTACAGCATGCTTCCAGCCAAAAAAACTGCTTTTGAAAAATAAAAAAATAACTAAAAAGCTAATATCAAATATGCAAAAAAGTAAAAGGTAGATTTGATTTTCAGACAAAAGTTTAGAAATCTAAAAAGAAAGGTAGAAGAGGAAGGGTGGATCCGTTCGTTTTATTAATGCAAGCTTTAAAGCAAGATGGAAATCAAACTTCGAATAACAAACTGAATGTTTGAACCTCGATAGGAACGCATGAACTTTCTTTGACTGTAATATTGGCTTTCACAACGAAATTTCAAAAATTGCGCAAAATTGCGAGAAAGGTTGCAAATAAAATATTGGGCGCCCTGTGTTATCCATACAAACCCCGCAGTATTGTGGGAGTATTTTGGTTACCATCAAATATGGCGGTTGTTGCTGAAGGAAAAAGTTGCTGACAATTTTATCGATATTCGAACTGAAAACTTCACGTTTATAGCCTAAAACGCAAAAATCTAATTAGCCAACATACTTCAAGTTTCCTATACGTTGGATTTATCGTCATCGGTAACGTTTTGGTGATGAATTATCAAAGATAACTCGACTTGACAACGGTGAAAACAAAATAATATTTTCAATTGGCAGTTTTTCGATAGCTTATCAAGTGCAGTTTGTCGATATTGAACTGAAGATATCATGAAAATGGTCGCCGATTAGCACTGCAGTAGAAATGGCAGACGATTTATCAAGCTTTATTGAACAGCAAAAGGTTAAACTGGAGAAAGAAAGGGCTGATCTTTCGAGAAATGGAAATTATACTTTGACAACGTCACAAGATAAAGAGGTAAAGTAAATATATTAATGTTTACAATTAAACTCATTGTTTGATGATCAAATTACAATTATATTCTTTGTAATATTTTCTCTCTGGAATCAAATTGATCACACTCAAGCTTAGCCAAATCGATAATTAAAATACCGACACCATTATTCGTTAACAAGTCTTGTTCAGATTTCTGTATGATCTAGCATACATATTCGATGCTGTAATAGAAATTCTATGTCTCTAGTTTAGTAAAAAGAATATCAGAAAAAAAGCTAGTAGAAATTTAATTCTATTTGGATTTGAATTTATTTATTGTAATATATATAGGATAGAAGAAAGAGTCCCAGAGGTATTGAGAGTGGAAAGAAGTAAGTGTTGCAAAAAGGGAAGAAGCTGAGAGGGCTATAGCTCCCACACTTCTTGCTAATATCCACTAATTTTACCAATCTAAGTCCATTACTTTCACCCTTTAGCATACTAGCTAGTCTATTATATTTTCTAAGGCCTAAGGCAAACATCAAACTTTCCATGCACCAAACTTAATTACATCAAAGAATGCCGCCTCATTATCACCTGATATCCATTGTTTTTAATGAGTTCGGTGCATGGAAAGTTCGATGTTTGCCCTAGGCCTAATATAATAATTAGATAAGTCATTGCCACCCCCAACTTCTTAGAAGGGCAGTCTGCAGTCCTTATTAAACATATACATTGGACACTGACGAAACACTCAAGAAGTGTAGAGAAGCACTCATTCTTCTCCTTACACTTCTCTCTCAGTGTTGTAGCTGCCAACCCCTGCGTACTTCATATCTGCACACAGCAAATACAATTTCTATTTAGTCCATTGTTTCTTACTCTATTCTAAAGCCTTTCCTGTTTGGATTGATAACATTGAAAGTATTGTATATCATTCAGTTTTCTGAATTCTGAGAATTCTGTTTTGACAGATGTTGTATTGTTTTTCTTTTTTCTTCTTTTGTATAATTTACTATTTAATTGTCTGTCTTTAACTCAGTGATAAATTTCTTTTTAAAGCCATATTGAGAAAGACTCTCCTTCTATCAAACCAAAAAGTAAGTAAAATTTAAGTGATCAGAACCACTCTTTTCATTCCATGTAATCTCTTTTTGAAAGTATCCACTTCCTTCGTGTTTCCTCGTTGCATTAACTTTGTATATTAGTTATTGTGTCTGGACCCCTGTTTTGAAAATCCTTGCAAAGAAAATAGTGAACAATTGCCTTCTATTCATCATGACTGCAACTGACTGCTTGTATGTCGAGATCAACCATCTCATTATTTTATTATCACTTTCTTGTTGACTGCTTGTACAAGTTCAAGTCTTTGGAACACAGGAGAATTCAAAAATTGTTCACTTAGAATATTTTATGCATCAGGCAGTTACTTTTGGTGATAGTGAGTGAAAATGTAATTAACTTCTATAACCAAATGAGTTTCATTTGTTTAACTGCTCAGTGATTAATGATAATGAAGAAACTGGCCTACCACTTGGTGGCTACACAAGGATTCAACAGAAACTCAAAGAGGAGAGACGATTGGAATACAATAAATATTTAGCTGAGGTAATTGATAGAAAAAAACACCAAATATTGTATAGAATGGTCTGAACCCAGGTGAATGAATGTTAATTGAAGTATTATGATCATTCTGGTGGATGTACATGTAGTCCTGAGAAGGACTGTTTGATGTGACTGACATTTCAACAACCTGAGCCGAAGTGATCTTGACTCTGAAGATGACTTCCGCTCAGGCTGTCGAAATGTCAGTCACATCAAACAGTCCTTCTCAGGACTACATCCATCCAGACGATCATAATACTTTGATTAACAAACACCAAATACTTGCATTATAATTGAACAAATAGGACTTTGCATCTACTTAGTTTTGGCTTTTGTATCTTTCTTTTCTACAAAAGAAAAATATGAGGTCAACAGGAAAAGTGGATTCAGTTTTGAAAGAAAAAGATATCTCTCCATCAAACAAGAATGGAGAAGTTCATGTAAGTTTTTTCTTCTTTTTGATGCTGTACATGATCTACAGGCCTGAATGCCTAGAGAAGTAAAATTTTCTACTTCCTTATTCTTTAACTAGGAAAGTGGGAGAAGGTCCTTAGAACATTCTTACGRAAAGGATCCAAGAGATTCGCCTATCCCAAGAGGTCGCAGAAAGGGGAAGGAAAACTTGGACATAAATGTAAGTTAGTGTTCATGGTGCTTGAATATACCTATGTTTTTAAGCAATTTTTAATAAACAATGTTTTTTTTTTGTTTCTTTTTTAGGATAATTATCAAGATGATAGATCTAGAGGTGAGTAGGCAAAAAGTTGTTGTACAGGAAGTCAACAATACACTGATCAGTTGTTGTTACTTATCAAAAAAAATTTTTCTAGGTTCTTTGCAGTATCCTCCAAAAGAAACCTATGAAGACATTCTGAGAAGAAAACGGGCGGATGAGAGAAAATATAGGTATTCAGTTAGTGCACTGATTGAGTCGATTTTCAAGGTTGTGTACAGACGACATGTCAATTGCAACACAGCAGATTGTTAGTGAATCATCGGTCAACGATTCACCAACATCCATGCATCAGCTGGTCGTTAAATACACAGTAAATTACCAAATTTCAGCTTGTAATGTTGTCATCTACACGTCTAAACTTCCTGGCTCTAACTTGATAATAAATATAATTATTGTAAAATATTGGTTTCTAGGAGAGACAGGCTTGGGTATGATGGACCAGACTTGGATGACGAACTGAGGTAAGAAATTATGCTATTTAATTTGAATGATATTATCAAGTCATCTGGGGCTCATCAGCAATATACCCGTACCTCTTTACCTTGGGTGTACTGTAACTTTCTCCCATTTCAAACCATGTGTCATTCCCAAGAGTATGAAAAGACACAGGAAATGAGACTATATAGAATTACACATGGTCTAAAATGGGAAAACATTAATATGCCTAAGATAAAGAGTTCTATTTAGCATCTGCTTTTACCTTTACATGCGACATTATTTTGTTGTTTGTTTTTTAATGTTTTAGATTAATGAAACTCTCAAGTAGAAACTACAAGCATAAYTCCAGGAGTGATGGATATCTCTCTCGTCGTTATGATGATGACTTGGATGACGATGAGGTACCTTTTTCTACTCTACCATCTGAATTACGGTCATAACGCCCCCTTGTCATGACGCCCCCAGCCATGACGCCCCCACGTATACCATGACGCCCCCAGTCTGTACTACCATGACGCCCCCAGCGTAAACCATGACGCCCCTAGTCTCTATTCCTAATGCATCTGATGTGATGTTCTTTAAAAGTACAGCTATATCGTGTTCTGGAACTAATCATTTATGTAAAAGTTCGAGATTTATCGTTAAACTTCTTGTTAAATAAGTGTTAATAGAGACTAGGGGCGTCATGGTTTACGCTGGGGGCATCATGGCTGGGGGCGTCATGACAAGGGGGCATTATGACCGGTTACCTACCATCTTACTGAGCAGTTTTGGGTCCCTGAAAGAAGGGGTTGAAATTATAAACAATACCTGGGAGCAGTTACAAAAAATTAAGAATTAAAATTAAAAATAGTGTGAAAATTTACTTTTAGTTTTTAAATAAATTTATCCCTGTATTATAAATATTCTGATCTGTATTAATGCATAATGGATGGCTAGATGAAAAAAAGATCGTTGGTTGATTGGGCTTATAACTCTTCCTCCTACCATCTCTTACTCCATAACGATGTCTTTCTCTCTCTCTCCTCTCTCCATTTTTGACATTGTTTTTATTTCTGCATTGCTAGTTTGGATTGCCACCTCGTAGAGGACGCAGGAGAAGAGACCGATCCATCGAATCTAAGTTAGTCCTAATTGAATACTTCCTTCAAAACATTGTAAAATGAATCATTAATATTGGATTTGGTTGGAAAATCATGTGAAATACTGGTGTTCAAACTTGCAAGGTTTTAAAATTTAGTTGCTATTTTGTTTTCAATTTAGGAGAGTTCGATTCTATGATGAYGATGATTATGAAGACATCGATGACAAGTAAGTAGGGTCATAGGAGTGCTGCTATCGCCAATAGAGGCTTTGCACCATCATGTGATGACAGCCATGACAGTAGACACTAATACAATAGAGTCCTTTTCCCCTGGGAAACTGATGGTTGCCATCACATGATGGTGCAAAGTCTAGCTCTATTCAATACTTATGACTGCTACTATTTGTGGATAATTTTTGGTGGGTTTCTCACAATTTAAAGGATTTATCTCACCATGAATCTTTGAATTGATTCCATCATTGGCATACCTGCATGTAATAATTATTATTTGTAGATGGTTAAGCTTGGCCACACACACCAGTACCATAGATAAATGTAGAAAGTAGAAAATTAAAACCAAGATTAAGCTTTATACAAGAATGCATATTGCTGCTATATGCTATTGAGTAACAAAATGATGAGAATAAAATTATAAATAAACATTTGAATAATTACAGTCTTTGGTCCAAACCATGTAGAAGGTTATATGACTATGATGATAATGAAGATATGGATGACCTTTATGCATTGGTAAGAAGAATGAAAATGTGTTGCTTCATACTGTTGGACAAGCAGTCTGGAGTATATTTATTTCCCACAACAGTTTTAATTTTTGGAATGGTGTTATGACGAGAATGAAATTTCTTGTAGACCTCTTGATTTACTATTATTTCTCCCTCCAGATTTCACTCTCTCTCCCTCTCTTCCCACTTTCCCCTTCCCTCTAGATTTCTTTTTCTTTTTTACATTGAATCTTGATATCAATATTAGGAAAGACAATAAGTAACAATTTATTATCCTCTGTTGGTGCTAATAATGATTATCATGATGGAGATGGATATGGTGATGGCGATGACCATGGATATGGTGATGGATATGATGATGGCGATGGCGATGGCGGTGATGGCAATGGCGATGGTGGTGATGGTGATGGTGGTGATGGCGATGGCAATGGTGGTGATGGAGATGGAGATGGAKATGGAGATGGATATGATGATGGCAATGGCGATGGCGATGATAATGATGATAATAATGATGATAATCAAATAATTGTTCTTTCAGTCCCAAAGAAGATCAAGATCACATAGATCCAATAGAATAAGCAGTGCTCATGAGGAAAGGACTGTGTAAGTAGCAATACAAGCTTAGACTTATAACTAAATAATATTTACTACTACACAAGGGCAAATCCAGGATTTTATTATAGAGGGCATTCTGCATTCAAGGGGCATCCACCTGTAAAAGATGCCGAACCAAAAAAAAAATACAAATAGTACATTCTGTGTAAGAAGAAATGGAAATTCTCAGGGGGAGGGGGGGGTTGAAACCACCACTGACAACACCCCCCTGGATCCTCCCCTGTGACATCATCCTCAGTCTACAAAAAATTCTTATCCAATCTGTGTTTGTTATCTAACATAGTATGCCATGTTTTTGTCATCTCTTAGGATTGAACATTTAGTATTTAACTAAAATGTAATAAAGAATATTGTGGGCTTTTATGATTAAAATTAATGTGAGTGGTTGGTTTTATCATAATAAAGCAATGGCCCAACTTTGGAAAATGAATCAATAAGGAGAACAAAAACTGATAGTGAGATTAGATCACAATCTGCCCCCTTGTTGGAAGGAGCTGGAATTATTGGAGGTGAGACTCAAAGCTGGTTTAATTTGAAGATAAAAATGAAAAATACCATGGCAAACTATCTACTCATCTACTCAGCTATCCATTCATCCCTTCCACTTATCCATCCTGTTCTATCCCATCTACTCAGCTATCCATTCATCCCTTCCACTTATCCATCCTNCATCCTGTTCTATCCCATCTACTCAGCTATCCATTCATCCCTTCCACTTATCCATCCTGTTCTATCCCATCTACTCAGCTATCCATTCATCCCTTTCACTTATCCATCCTGTTCTATCCCATTTACTCAGCTTTCCATTCATCCCATCCACTTATCCACTTACTCAACTGTACTTAACACATCCATCATTCCCATAGCCATCCCATTTATTCATTCATCCATGCACCCACCTATACATCTATCCACCCGTCCAATCCCATCTTATCAAATCACCAAAACCTAGCCATCCAACTTACTCACCTATCCATTCATCCCATCCACTTATCCACCCACTCAACCATACACACATCCATCTCTTCATTTGTAGCAATCCCATTCACTCATTCATTCATACACCCACCTAGCCAATCCAATCCCATCCTATCAAATCACCAAAAGCTATCCAATTTACTCTACTATCCATTCATCACATCCACTTCCATATACCACAACTATCCACACATCCATTTACTGTGCCATCCATCCATCCAATGCACCTACCTAAACATCTATCCCACCCTCTCACATCCTATCCCATCCCATCCCATCCACTCACTCACTAACTCATCCATCTTTCCATTAATACATTTCTCCCGGATCTTGCTTTTGTGTGTTAAGGTGGTCATACAGAGACTAGAGAAATGAAACTAAAGAAACAAGAAAAATACAAGAAAGAACTTGAGGAACAAATGAAACAACACGAAGAAAATAAGAAAAAGTGAGTTTTCCAGTTGTGTTCATCATCAATTTGAATCAAGCTCTTGATTACCTTACTTAGTACATTGTACTAAATGTCATAAAATTTGGCATGAAATTAATATTGTCAACTTCTTTACAGAGAAAAGAGGGAAAGGTTTAGCGAACCAGCTGAAACAAGTGGCTTTGATTATGAATCCAATGTGGTAAAAAAAACTTTTCATATATGTATTTTATATTTTACAACAGTCATTCCCTATATATAAGGGTCACGTCTACTCTTAGGTTTGCTCCACAAGCACTTCTACTACATCCACTATTTACAACACATACCACTCAACTCACATGTTGATTTTAACGGAGGGAGAAAATGAGGGAAAACTCCTTGTAGCAAGGAAGAGAACAACACATCAAACAAACTCAACCCACATTATGCCGTTCAGTTGAGAATTGAACCAACAACCTCAGGCATGAACTACAGTACACAACAGCAAGAGACATCCAAACATGCCACCCACATTCATTATTTCATAATTATTATTACCAGGGGTGGGGAGATTTTCTTATCCTAAGATCTTTATCTAATAATTCTCAGCCGACAAAGACACCTCGCTCAACTACAAGAAAAGGAAGACAAGATGCCTATGATGAGCCCCTTGGAAATAACGGCCCTAGTTCCAGACCTCCTCAACACTCATCCTTGTACCCAAGCCCTTACGATGATCCTTATTACTATTATGGGAGACAGGAGCGCGGTGCCCCCCAGGTGACATCATTACAAGATCCTTTGTTTAAGAGTTCTGGGTATGGTGTTACAGGGCTCTACGATGAAGATGATGGTCCTCCTACAGGTGAATAAAACTACCCAGATTTCGTGCAAATCTTGCAAATCTTGCACTATCTAGCCTCACATATTCATGTTTAGATAAATTTAAAGTGGATGAATAATAAATTCAAGCTATTTGAATTGTAATTCTAATAGTTATTTGATATCAGCTACCCTATAATTTTCTTCATAACGAACCTATAGGATGATCATTAAAAATCAATGCCATCAATAGAGGATCAGGCCAGTAAACCTTCCTCAGGGACTTAAATCCATTCAGTCGGTTTTGCCTTTGATATTTTCTTAGATTATTTCRAAATAACAAAGAAGTTCATATTTTTAGATCGTTATCAAGAAAAAAGTAGGCAGAGAGACTTCTCCAGAACTCCAGGTAAGAAAATCCTTTGCTCAGTAGCTACTTCTGACTTGATAATTTAAAGGTGATCCTAATTTGCGCAATACTCATRATTATTATTATACATTTTACTTGTAGTTTCAAGAAGGGGGCAGACAGTGGACCAYGCCCATCAACCACCAGGAGGATACAGCAGTATTAATGGGATACCAGGTGCAGGGCAAGTCAGTCCTGAGGCAGATAAACAGAGTAAGAGAGCTGTGCAGCAGGCTTACCAAGAAGAACTCAGAAAACAGGTACGAAATAATTTCAAATGTGCTATTATGTAACCTTGTTAAATGGGATATTGATTATTATACTTAGATAAGTTTGGTTGGTAAGTGGACTCATGGACAGCGAAGCACTTTTTGGAGTCGTGGGAACTGGGGGAYGGTGCTAAAATCTTTTTTTGTTTCATACAGAACTCTAACTCAACAAAATAAGATTTCATTATTGTTAAAAGTAGTGAAAGATGATAATTCAAAAGGTTTTTAACTTGATTAAATTTCAAAATTTTATTTTAAGATGGAGATTAGAGAAAGCCAAAAACGAAAAGAGAAAGCAGAAAAAGAAAAGTAAGTGGCTTTAAAATAACTAATTTTTATTACTGTAAATTATAGTAATTTATTGTAATTATAAATTATTAGTGTGGTTCTATATATTCTGCAAACTCCCACATTTCAACAGCTCGTCGTGATTGGTTTTTCACTATGGCCAGTCTAGAATATTAATGGTACAGACGGATTATTTTTGATTAACGGCAGCAAAAAAATCAAATTTCAGCTTGCAGCTTGCAACTACCGAATTTACGGGTATCGAAAACCGCAGTAGAGATGTGAATTTTGTTTCATCAAGCAAATTTTTCAAATTTTTCAAATCATCTTTAATAACTTTTGAAGCAATAAAACACTTTAATAATCATATAGTCATAATTTGCTATATATTGCTATAACTTGCTATATATATAGGTATGATAGAAAGATGGAAGAAGAAATTGCCAAATATGACCCATGGGGTAGAGGCGGAGCTGGTGCCCCCCTCAGAGATGTCTCAGGCCAAGTAATGGGTATGGTAACATTATTACTTGTTGTACATGTATTGTTATTCAAAAAAATAGAAAATGAAGGGGTGTCATGTTGTTTTGTATTAAATTATGGTTCATTTGACAATTTTTGTCTTGTTAGTATTGAAGTGTGATTCTATATCAGATTCTGTATATATATAATTGGAAATTAAAGGATTTAACTTCACTTTAAATAAACAAGTGAAAAACAATGGGTGGAAAGAGGATCACTTTGCTTTACCCACGAAAATAACCAGTGAAACAGTCAAGGCTCAAACTCCCAAAATAATAATATTTTCATTTTTTGCTGTAATTTTTTAAAGCTAACCTTCGTATAGTTCAACATGATGCTCAAGATGGCAAGACGTCTGTATCTCCAAGAAATGCACCTCCTTCCATAGAGATGAGGTTTGAGAATAGTCCACCACAACTACAACCACAACAGCTACAGCAACCTCAATCAGGTCAAGGTAAATCAAGAGATTAAAACCTTTGATAAGATTTTTTTGCTTTTTGATCTTTGTGCTGATCAAAGTCAGGGCATGGCAAACTTACACAGATTGAATTGGAATCTAGTGTGCCGTGTTTTGTACAAGGAGGAAAACTTTAAAACCTGGACAAAATTTCTTAAATCAAGCCAGAGACATATTAATAATAAACTATGCTTGCATGGGATGCGTAGTCCAGGAACCGAAAAATTTCAACCCCCACGTTGAGAGTCACATGCACTACCACTGTGCAATCCCTTATCAATTTAGTTTCTTTCTTGCAGCAAATGTCTCACCATTTGGCAGATCTGATCCTCTGAAAGAGCGCCAACCACATGTAAGTTGAAGGAAAAATCAAATTTTTAAATTAAATTAAACATATTAGGGTCATGGTATGAATCCCATGGCACATATATATTGTGTCTTTTCTCTACATCATAAAATAAACTCTGACAAAGGACTTAAATGTCAGAAAGTCATTATTGTTACAAATTCCTTACACTAGAKAATGTGTAGGTCTCCTTGTTATTTACTTGTTTCGATTAGGAATATCTTATTTCTCGACAGGATGGTCTAAAAGAAAAAGCAAAGCAAGAATATCAAGAATATCTCAAGCTACAAGTAAGATGAACTGTTGATTTAAAAAAAAAATTTCTGTTGTTTTTTTGTTTATTGTTTTATTCATTTGTTGTTTTAGTTATTTGTTCATTTATTCCTCCATTTATTTCCTGTAGGTTGAAGAAAAAGAAAGAAAGAAAAAAGAAGAACAGGAAAAAATAAGAGCAGAGGAGGAAAGACAGGTAATGACAGGGCAACATGCAATAGTATGACCAGCGATAATGTATTTGCATACTCCTATGCATCGGCTTTTGTGAATTAAACACATTTCGATATGAAGCTGAATGGTCAAATTACAAATTGAAATAAGGTATGTAAAAAGCTTGTGTGACAGGCCTTTAAAAAAGCTTGCATGTGTTGAGTAGAAGTTTGTGTATACAATAAACATTGTGGGTCATACTCTCACATGTTATGCTGTAAAGCAACTAGTATATAATTTCCCAAATTAGTTATTAAAGCTTTAGTTTCTATACTTTTGGAACTCTTTAAATAATGTTATATTTAACAATACTGTGGATTTTTCATAATGTAGGAAAGGAGGCTCCAGGAGCAGCGGGATAAGATGCAGAGAGAGTATCTGGAGGAACAAGAGAAAATAAAGAAAAAAGAAGAAGAAGTGAGTAGTTTTTAAATTAAAAGTCCTTTCTAGCAATTGTCAAAAGCTGAACATCAGGGGTATGGAAGGCAAGCAAATTCATGCAAAAGGGGCTCCTGGCGTAGCAGTAAATGTGAGAGTGCCTGCCTCTCACCAGTGCAACCCAGGTTTGAGGTTCGATTCCCTGAACTCAGCATGGCACGTGAATAAAGTTGTTGGTTGGTTGAATCCCTCCCAGCTTCCAAGGTTTTTCTCTAAGGTTTTTCCTTCCTCTACAAAAAAATTAAAATAAAAATAAAATAAAWAAATAAAAATTCATTTTCCAGCAGAAGAGTCACTCTTTGGAACCACTGTTAAATCCCATTATTTATCCTCATTAAGTGAAAAATAATTATTGTTCTGTTACATTCTTGTGGTATACTTACTAATGTATGTATGATAAACTTTATTAGGTAAAAAGACAAAATGAAATGCTCTTAGAAGCACAAAATGCAAAGAAGAAGGAAGCAGAGCGAAAGAGAAAAGAAATGGAAGACAAAAGGCAGGAAGAGCTGAGAAGAAGAATGGAAGAAAATGTAACTGCCAACAAAATGGTTAGTAATTACATTCTAACTCATTCTTTAATTATTTTTTAGACTTTTAGGTTTCATTCATTTGTCAATAATTTATGCATTCATCCTTTTATTTATTCTCTTGCTATTTTTTCCCTTCAGTTAGTCATAGTTCCATCCATTCATCTTTCCTATTTATCCCATCTATCTATCTATCCATTACAGCTTTTCTTTTTTGTATACCATTTATTGGATTCATCAATCCATCCCTCCCTCACATCTATCCTCTTTCTTTTTTTCTATGCTCTGATTCCTTCCTTTTATCCATTTCTTTTCCCCTTCAGTCCATATATACATTCCCTTTTCTTCAAATCCACTGATTCCTTCCTTCTATTCATTCCTCTCTGCCTCCCATCCATCTATTCATCCTTTTTTCTTCTTCCCATGGATCACATCCACTAGACATTCCATCCATCTCTCTCATTTCTCACTCTCATCCATCTTTTTTCCTTTTTCCTTTTCCTCCTTATCTTACTTTTCATTTATTTGCAGAGTCTTGTTTGATAATTCAATAATTGTTTTCAGGGATCGGGATCTACTGCAGCAACTTTTAGAACAGCTTCTCCGCCAATACCCACAATGCGCAAAAAGGTATGTTAAATTTTGATAACCAGAAACATTGTAAACAATTCTTTATTACTCTCTAAAAATGTTTCTTATACCTTCATATGTAGTTATTATTATTYGTTTATATCAAATATATTAATTTTTTATAGTATTACATAAATTTTTTTAAAGTATTGCATCTTAAAGTGAATTTAATAGTATATTCTCCTCGTCCTCACCTCCACAACCACTACCACCATCATTATCCACCTTCTCCCCCCCCCCCCCCCCCCCCCCCCCCCCCCCCCCCCTCATGGTCATCATTGTTTCTTATACACTATTCTACCTATCACAGGATGGAGAAAACTCAGGAATGGCAAGAGGCTCATCACCTCCAGTGCCTACACTGGCTAAGCTACAAGCAGAAGGTAATAAATAATATAGTATAGACCCAAAAAATCTTCTCTGTTAATTCACATCAAACATCAAACTACTGAGGTGGGACTCCCAAGAATGTATTGTAATCTCTATAAATTTTTGATGTCTCTAGGTTCTCCACAACAACGCAAGCCTGCCTCTCCTTCTCCTTCTCCATCACCATTACCACAGAGACAGCCAGCAGGTGAAAGAACATCTCATTCAATATCGATATTTTTCTATTATCTCCAACTAAAAGTTTATCACATGGCAGCCATGTCTTTTCCCTTGAGAATAAAAGTGGAGTTTTTAACTCATCCTGAAGTGTTTTAATGCAAGGCTATATAGGGGAAAATTTCCATGAATTCAAAGTGGAATGCCATTCCTTTCTCTTGATTATTATTTTCTTATATTTTATTTTTTCATTCCATACTTCATTGGAGACATGGTTGCCACATGAAAAGGTTCATCAAATTGGAATACCATTCTCATCGCTTGTTCATTTATTAATCTGACATTTATCCATTCCAATGTTCAGCTCAAAGCAGACAGAATATAACCCAACCAGATAATGATGTCTTGAGTCAACTGACGGCACTGAGGCAACAACTCAAGAATGAGGAGCAGAAAATGCAGTCACAGATTGGCCATTCCACAGCAACGGTAATAATTATTGTACAACTACAACTAAATTTTCGTAATTTTCTTGTATTAAAATTATTCAACATTTCTTGTTAATTTTTCTCTTTTCTAGACTAAGTATTCTCAGATGAGCAGAGTTGAAAATGAAAGCAAAAGGTAAAGGTCCGACACTTTTAACAGCTGTAAAGGAGACCTATACTGAGGGTCCAGGAGGGTGTTGGTTGCCGTCATTAGTGTTGGGTCATCTGATCTGATGATATCATGTCATTGACAAGAGTTGTCAAACCCAGCCTTGATCCTGGAGCAGACATTTAATTTGGAAAAGGGGCTTAAAAATATCTTTGTTGTCTGTAGTCTTGCAGAAAATCCTTGACGTGGAAACCCCAAACCAAATCCACAGGAATTCCATCAGACAGAGTATTAGCCATTTTAGTTGCATTTAGGGCATTTTCATGATTCCAACATGCAGGGCTCAAAATAACAGTTGCCAGTCATAATGACCATCCAAATTAGTTTTAACCCTGTGTCATACTTTGTTTCTGATTAAACTTGCCAAAATAGCCAGCACTTGAGACAAAGATTTGACCGGACAAGTTCCAATTCTGGCTGATCATCCCAAGGCTGGCTATTTTAACCCCTTTAAAGGAAACAAAATATTCTCAAACATTTTCTGTTAGTGACTTGACAATGTTTCTTTTTTGACTAGGAATAAAAGAGATGTCAGTGTATTTGACAGAGCTCTCACAAACAAACCAGGAGCTGTAAAAAAGACAGAAACAGATGTATGTTCTTCTAATGGAAGATTGTACTGTATTTAATATAATATTATAATTAAATTTGTTTTTACTTTTAATTGATACTTTATAATCATAAATTAATGCTTAATTAATTTTTGATTCTACTCAGCACTATTCAGCCGCTGATGAGTTCAATAGGATGAAACATGAAGGTAAGATTTAAYGTTCAATACAATACATTAATATATACAATACAATATAGTTCAGTAGTCCTTTAAACGAGGCTAGTCACTCACTGGTCAGTGCAGAACAATAGTTATCGTGTAGTTCCAGAAATCATCCATACCCACCCAACATACCCAGGAATTTGGAATTTCCGAAGAGTAGGGGGGGTCAGAGAAAGAACAAAAATTACGGAGTTTGTATGGAAGAAAATTGGAATTTCTGAGGGTAGGGGGGTGTCTTAAAAAAATTCCTCCATGAGGGGGTATGGATAATTTTTGGAACTACACAATCAAATTGGTGACCATATTTTGATCCAGTGTATATTTTACATAATATTTGTTGATTTGTTCTCATGGTCATTTTCAGATAACACTTCTTTAGCAGGGGAGTTTAGGAGTAGATTTCCTCAACCAGCAACCTCGGACAGCATGCTGGACTTGCAGCAGCAGGAATACCTGAGGTAGGTACTAACAGAGTATTAGGATACAACATTAGTTTACTATTGTTTTGATATTTCATACTTAATGTAAAAAGTGTACGAGACTTAGAGTGTAAAGTGCTATCCTATTTCATTCAGTATTATATCAAATAAAAAATTTAAATTGGTCCATAAAAGGGATTGGTTGATTGAATGATTGATTGATTGATTGATTGACTGCTCAAAGGGTTTAAAGCTATGACTTTCATCAAACACATCTAACCACTTCTGACTTCTGAAATCTTGTTTATCATAGGGAGCAAGAAGATAAACTATCATCTCTTAAGGCTGGTGAGTGTTGTCCTCCATTACATTATTATTATTTAGACTTTGCAAGTAAGCTTTCAGGGCTTTTTATGCTAATGTATGACAACTTTATAGGGGTGGCAAGATCCAAAGCACATCCTGGTGGTATAGAGGTGAGATATGATGACTTGACTAGTTATGGCTATTTTACTTTCCTTGTCTTTCTATTTCTCCTCTTCCCTTCCTTTTTCCCTTTCCTTCCTTCATTTTTCTTATTTATTGATTTTTTAATCTCCCTTTTCCATTTTGCCTCCATTTCTTTCTTCCTTCATTCCCTATCTCCCACTTTTTCTTTCTTTTTGTTTTCATTCCTTCTTTCTCTCCTATTCCTATTTTTTCTCTACATCACTATTTTTCAAAAAACTTTCTATATGTTCCAGGGCCCCTCTCGCTCAAAGAGTAAAGAGTCACTATTGGAGTCAGAGAGTCAGTTTATTGCTGTGGATGACCCAACTCAAATAATACCAACATCACAGACTGACATACGACCAAGACAGCCTTCAGCAAGGGAAAGAAGGAGATGGAAACAATTGGAAGAAATGGCTAAAGAACCCAAGGTGGAAATAAAATATATTTGTTTTCATTCTTCATTATTAACACATCATTCATTATTATATTAAGCAGCATGGATGGATGGTTGACTGGCTCTGATATCAGTTATTTCTGATAAATAGTGTGACTGTGTGTGATGCATTTAAGCCATAAGCTGCTGTATTCAGATTTGACTGCTTGATGCCATTGTATGTCAAAACCCACACATAACGCACAGTGCTCACCATAGAGTCTCCAGCAGCTCAGTGGCTAGACAGAGCATCCAACTAGAATATGGAGGGTTGTGGGTTCCATTTGAGGGTTTTTTATTAAGGTTATCCAGTTTTCCTCTCTCCACAAAATTTATTTAATTGTAATGTCATGTCAAATGATTTATTTTAGATTAATTTTGTCTTGTAGCCTTATGATGTTTATAAGCCACCAACCCCTGGTGGGTTTTCATTGAACTCTGTCACAAGTTTTAATGTCGACGATTTGGCTGCCAAAAATGAGGAAAGACTGCAGAGAATAGAGGCTATTAGACATGCTGGTGGTGCTGGAGGTGAAACTAATAACCCAGATGATGTGCTAAAACAGTTCATGAGTGAAAGACGGTAAGTAGTGATGCTTGAGCTTAATTGGGTTGTAGTAAGAAAGAAATTTTTGCATCTATTTGTACTTATGTTGCTAGTGAAATGCTTTAACCCCAGCTATGCTCTTGTTGCATATCAAAATTTCAATGACATCACAACAATTTTCAAAAACTCCACTTACAGCCATTCTCAATCACACGCACCCTCTAGCGATTGATTCTGTTCCAATGAAGAAGGTTTTGGTGGATGTCAATCACAAGGTGATTCCATAACATTGTCGGAAAACACAAAGCTATAAGGGCACGGGCCTATAGAATGTCATGGAAAYGCCTTGATTGTCGTCCACCAAAATCTTCTTCTCGTGACAGAAACAATCGAAATCAAACAATTGCTAGAGTGGCATGTGTGATTGAGAATGGCTGTAATCATATATCTGTGAAAAACGTCAACTTTGAAGAAATTGCAGAAATTATTGAGTTTAGTCTAGGCCTACAAAACTTTGCACTAATTTGTACAATTTTGTTAGTTAACTTTTTCACGGATATATGGTATGCAATCTAATTAATATTTTCAGTAATGTTGCAAGTCTGTAATTTGTGTTGCAAAGTCTTGTGTTGTAAGCTTAAACTTAAACTTCTGTTTCCACACTTCACAGTCGCCCACAGACAAGGGCTTCAGAAGCCTCTTTAGAAGCAGAGACAAGCTATCAACCTTTTCCATTTTAAACCTTTAGCTCACAGGCCCTAAATTTTTATAATATAATGTAAATTGAAATGGAATTATTGATATTATGGATTTTATAATTCATGTGTAATTGAAAAACAATTTAGTTTTTTCTTAAGGTGGCAATTATATTATGCTCTGACTAGTGCATCCTGAATGATATTTCTAAAAGAATTCTTAGTTCTGAAAATGATTGTATGAAAATAAAATCCAGGGGTCACATTTAACTTAGTACTGTAAATATTTAAAAGAAAAAAAAAAAAAAAAATCACTCAATGTTTGATGTTAGATTATAACCTAAGAGTGACTGTTAATTGATTAGTTCTATTTAATAGATGTATATGTCATATTTAACTGTAATGACTCTAGTAAGTAATTTTTGTAGCAAAGAACTAAAGTATTTTTTGTAAATAATAGTGTGAGTTGTCTTTGYACTTGGTCTTGTGGTAGTTTATGGATTAAAATATAAGTTAATATAATGTTCACTTTGTTGTTGTATTCACTAATTTGTAGCAGTTTTGTTAATTTACTAGTATTTCCTAAAGCCACTCCCTTCTCCCTAAAGCACTGCTATGCAGGCTACACCAGGGGAGGGTAAAATCAGCTTAATCACTCTTCACTTAAAACTAATCAAATATTACACTCTAATTATACTCAACAGCACACTAAATGATGATGAATTATTGAACGGTGAAGTAATAACCGGCAGGTGACAATAAAAGCCATAAAAAATACTAAAAATTGTAAACACCTATTATAAATATGATCAGGAAATAATTTATTATTATTATATTAGATATATTTTTTTATATATCTACATTTACACTAGCTGTGTATACAGACATTTGTAGGGTCCTCTTGCATGATGACACCGGGGACTACTGCATAGTAGGCTACCTACATAAATTTTACACGCTGACTGTGCATGAAGGAAATGTATTTTTCAATTATATAATTTTTTTTGCATGGACATATTTTGTGATGCAGCATATAAAAAGATAAAACTATAACACCAAATTTCAATAAGTGATAATCATTACATCTAGTAGTAGTCATTTAATATTTTTTACAGTGAACTGCAACATTTTGTCAGCAAACATTCCATGAGGAAATAAACAGTGTYAATATAACCGCAAAGATTTCTTAAAATTCTTTAAAATATAGTGTAATAAATAAAGATATGTTTAAAAACATTAAAATGAGTCTTGTATCAACAAACCAGTCATGACAACCACTACCAGTAATCATCCTTTTTAGATTTTAATTCAAAAAGGTGCTTGATGTGTGTGTAACTCCAACAACACCAAAAAGCTTTCTTTTAACATTGTTTCATATGTCAGTCGTGAGATTATAGCCTGTTCAAGTTCTAAATTTTGAAACATGCATGCAAGCTACTATGTATTACTTGTTCATACATCCTAAACATATTTAGAAATTAATAATATGTACATTAAATTGAAATAAAATAAAGGTTTTGCATGTTTGAATTGATTTTTGCATTATTTTGGTCTCTCCTAATATTCTTTCCAAGTAGTTGTTTCGATCAGCAACTGTAAACATAACTGGAAACAACAACTGTTGTTTCCAGTTATGCAGACAACACTTCCACTGAATGCAAGTAGAATAAAAATAGGCTGCCTGAAGGATATTTTACTAAGTCTCCAGATATCAGTATTATTCAGTAGCTAAGCATTTATCTCAGCCAATGGACTTGAGTGTAAGGGTTTTGCAATAAAATCAGTCCCTGATAATCTTCGAGCTTTGGCAGGTTTTAATAGATGAGGCCCAAACTGCAAATGAAAAATGTTACAGACTTATTTAAAGTGGAAGAAAAATTAATTTGTCTCAAAATTCTACCATAATTTAAAGTAGATTGACATTACCTGGGGTATTTTAGGACTTCTGCTTGGAGAAGGAGAAAATGAAGACATATTTTCCTTGTCTAAGCCTGAAATGTTAATTAGACTTCTTGATAAAAATAAAAAATCTAGTAATCACAGACTATTTATAACCACACATTAAATTTAGGCTGTGTTTATAATGTATGGCAGGGGGGCGTGCAGGGCAGGCAGGTAAAATCTTTAAATGACAAACAGCTATATCTGACCTCCCCCGAGCTATCTCTTGTGGCTTCTAAAAAATGTTGCATCACCCAAATTTCCTGATAAAAAATTTAAAGCCTTCCCCTCCTTTACTGGTAAAAAAATTTCGATCCCCCTCAATTTCACCTGCCCCCCTCCATTATGATTGCAGCCTTATTGCTTCATACTTACTTGGTGAGTCATCATTTTTTAGCTTTCTTCTATGGGCAAACTTTTTCTTCAGTGCCCTGGCGATTATTGAAGAAGGATCGTTTCCTTCTGATTCAAGGGGTTTGTTTCTCACGGGGGTTCCTCCTGGTGATCTGGAAATTAATCAATAATAAAGTTACCTTGAATTCCTCACTGTCATAGCCTGCATGCAGCCAACCTAACTAACTATAATTTACTTTATTATATGACCGTGAATCTTAGAGCCTGGACACTAGCAAATCGAGCAATTTGATTGGATAGATCGCATCGCAGACTGGTCTAGATTCTCCGGTATTAACTGGTCTGATCGCATATTAATCTTACGGCGAAAACATTTTGTCCTTTTCAATGAAAAGTGGTCATATGATAAAACTCTTATCAACCAAGCTTGGTCGGTCTGTATGGGATAATCTTGAACATGCTGCGCTCGGTCTGTACATTCCGACCTCGGTCAAGATTATCCCGTACAGACCTCCCGCTCGGTTAATAAGATCTAAATACAAGAGAAAAGTCTGGCTGCAAGCAGGCTATCACTATCTCAGTAAGTAGTTAAGTTGTTGTGTCGAGGACAAGAGTTTTGAAAGATTGCCTTTGCTATATAGCAAATATCCACTGTAGGATGCTACGTAAATGTTCAACATTCAAATATCCAAGGGCCATGTATCCTACCTTTCAATTGATTTAAGCTTTACTGAACCAAGACCTTTGAGAACATCTGTCATGYTTGGAACATTAGAGGGTTTGTCTGTAGGCAGGCCTGCAATAGTTTTTCTTCTGGAACGATTCTTTAAAGAACAACATGGTCTGAATGCATGGTCTGAAGTGGGAAATTGTTAAACTATGATTTTGTCAACTTACCTCTTTGATGACATCTATGACAGACTTGACTGGAGTTGAAACAGCTGGTGGTGGTGGAGGAGGGGGAGGGGGTGGTGGTGGTGCTGCCCCAGGGGTACAGGGTGTGGATGTCATTGGCCCTATTTGTGGCAAAGATGGTGTACAGGGAGGGGCTGCCACAAGGCCAGCAATTTGGGCCCTAAGTCTATTTAGTTCTTCTTCAAGAGCAGAAATTTTCTTCATGGCTTCATTATTGACCATAAGAATGTCAGGTTCTTTGTCAATATTTGATAATTTTATGCACTCTGTAGTATCCTTTGGAATGTCGTCACCACAGATAGATAGAAGTTCATCATCAATATCGTCATCAGCCAGAGATAGAAATCCACTTGAGCTCTCTCTATCTGATCCAATGCAACTGAATGTGTCGTCATAGTACTCAGGACCCATGATCCATTCATCACTTCCTTCTGTATATTCTAGTTCATTTTGTATGTCATTTGATCCAATCTAAATGAGAGTAAACTGCATGAGACTAGAGTCGACATGTAAGGGCACCCACTAAAAGTTCATTATGGTTGCAGGGATGATTGCAGTGGAGGGGGATGGCAGATGATATTTCTCAATGCTTTCTGAAATTTTGGGCTCTCCCCTTATTCTCTGAAAACAAAAAAATCGAGAACTCCCCATCCATTGAACAAATGATTTTCAGATTTGTCCTCTGGTATATACACATAATGAATGCATTCTAATGAATAATTTATTTAATGCTTTAATTTAAATACAGAATATTAAGGAACAGCAATACTAATAAACAGATAATTACAGATAATACTGTAAATGATGTAAGTTAAGTTGYGTGGGGTTATGTGAGTCGAATACAAGTCAACTCACGTAAAAAGTACCTGGAAGTGTGGACGTTTGATAGAGCGCAAGGGCAGTCGACTGGCAATCTCTCTGATAATACTGCGTTTAGAATAAAGCCTTGGGAAGACGGAGGGTAAAGAACTTGCAATCTGTCGAACGATACTTCTTCTTCTTCCTGGATTCGTACGCCATAATGCCTAAATAAACACGAGAATAAAACTCATTTTCAAACATAGGTGGGGGACGGCTAGAAAACTGAAAATTTGATTGAAAAGAATAGTTGTAAAGTATTACGACTTACCGAGATTTCATACTCATCCCAGCCAAAGTATTGCTCTAGAATAAAGGACAATACCTCTACGAAAACATCCATCATGATTGTAAGAAGTAAAAAGAATATATAAAAGCTAAAATTGATTTTTAAGACCGAGTAATCACCGAACCCCAGCACATCTTGGAGGAAGAGTCGTTCTCTTGCATCTCTTACAACAACAGAAACAGACCTCGATCCGAAACAATCTGTAAGCTGATTGGTTCACGCTTAATTCAAATATTCGAAGTAACCAATCAAAACATTCAAGGACTCTCAATCAACCAATGGGAGTCGAGACCGGTAAAGTTTGAATATCAGCCACGAGGGGCTTCCACAGAGTTCGACTTTCGCGAACAGGACCAAAGCAAGTCACTGTACAAGAAAATATTTTGATTCTAGTAAGCGAAGGAATTTTGAAGCGATGAGTGCGGTCACAGTTGTTGGACATTTGAGGGATCTAGCAGCGGATCCATTAAACAGGGCCACTATTGTTAAGGTTCGTTTTAGGGTTTTGCTTTCCAGGTTAACCTAACCGTCACCATCAAGTGACCCGATTGTGATTCTTTGTTTTATAGGACCAAGGATGTCTTTCTGGGCTGGTTTTGTTCCTCGATAATGAAGATAAAGATGTAGTCAAGACTGCTTTAGAGGTAACTGTTGTCTTTCTAGACTAGAAGAAAATGTTTTATATCGCTGACGCTGAGATAAACGCCTACTTTGACGCATGAACAACTTTCGAGCAGTATTCAATAAAGCAGAGGTAAACAGCTCTCTGTTTCAGTTTCTCAGAACTGGATTCCTCAATTATGTCATATTTTTAATAAAATCCTTTCAAGAACATCATTAATTTACTGTATTTGGGGTTCCTGTGGCATGGAATTCGAATGTAATCTGTTGTTAATCATTTGTCCTGTAGGCATTGAATTTCCTGGCAGACTACCAGCCAAATCGTTCACAAATGCGAGATGAAATTGGAATGGTAGTAAGTCTTAAAGCCATTATAAATGATGAACAGAATGGATTACCACTCCGCAGGATGGCAAAACAGGTCTACAACAAGATCATTGCGCGGCCGCAAAATAAGGCCCCACCTAGACCAGCTGGCCAAAGGGGGTAAGGCACACAGATCTGRATACTTGACAGCTCTTGATCAACAACAAGCTAATGATTTAATTGATAAGTGTAATACACTATCAGACTAGGATAAATCTTGGATTTGAGGAAGGGGGCTTACAGCTGAAGGAATGAAGGCGCTCGTGGGGGAGGGGGAGGCTCCTTCAAGAGTGTCAAATTTTATGGTTTTTTCACGTTACATTCAGGTTACAGAATTGAGTTTTGCTACACTCTTTGAATCGCCCCCATGCTATTCCCACTAGACCCACCATTACATATAGGATCACCTATTGCTGTACCAGCATTCTTTTTGCCGAGGGAAAGTTAGGTCCCCCTTTAGCAAGCCATACTCTTGTTTTTGGAGGTCCCTGGGGAAATAAAGACAAAAAACTTTCAGAGAAAGGCCAAAGAGATAATTTGATCTCATCTCTGTGGCTGTCAGCTTTTCTCAAGTACTTACAATCAGTGAAATGGTGAAACCACTACAACCTAGTTTAGTGACATCTGATTTTCTAACATGCAGACCAAATCCTTTCTTCCTTGGAACATCAAATAAGAAAGCCAAGTTAATGACACTGCAAATTAGAGGTCTTACCACAGTAAGTGACATTAGTATCTCTTTGCTTTGTCTGAATGTACAATTCCATCTACTAGGCTAAGGAAAAAATTAGCATTGGTATGTCTAAGGAAACCAGAGAACCTGAAAAAATCTTGCATCGAGCCACACTGAGTTTGGAAATAGACCTTTTCAGGTTGAACATGTTTTATTGATTTCTGACCAAGTGTCAATTTCTTGAAAATAAGAGTTTTTGTTTGAGTTTTATTCATATAATTTCATGGTGATGCAAAACTGTTAAACAAAGAAATAGTACTCTAGGGAATGCCAAGTGGGTAATGGGAAAACATTATGCCCAAGCCAAAAAGATCTATTGAGCTTATAGTAGCGTTAGTGAGATTAATGCTTTTATATTTTCCCCAATGTATTATCTCAGGTAACAAGGAGAATGTGTGAGGAACATATGGTCAAAACGAAAGGTGTAATAAGCTTCACTTTTGACATGAAAAGGTCGAGAATGATTGTACGCTGTAGACCAGAATTGACTCCAGAATCTCTATGTGAAATAATTAACCAAACAAAACTACTAACAGCACAACAAGTGGTCAGAAATGAGAAGGGTGAAGAGGTAACTAAATGTCAAAAGCTTTTTTTCAGACTCCCAGGTACTACAGGGCCTAAAAAAAATTGACAGATGGTCGGACAATCTTGGGCCAAAATTGAGACTTGTTCGGTCAAAATGTTGAGCCAGAAACAAGGAATGATTGAGGTTTGCCAGTTATATATCATAACCACCTGCGGGAGAATGACTGGTCAATAACATATAGCTGGGGAGGGGAATTTCAAAAAATGAAATAATTTTAGGTGGGGGGATACCTGATTGCACAATATGAAATCTTAAGATTTGTCATTGCAACAAAATAAGGTTTTTTTTATGAACGTTGATAAAAGTGTTTCCATGACATTGTGTCAGAAAACACAAAGTTTTCAAGGGCAAGTGCCCATGGAATGTCATACCAAAACGTTCCCATGTGATGGAAAGTGCTGTACTAATAGAATGTGTGTTGGTTTATTTAAGGCAGTGTTGTCGTTTGGTGCTATCCCCTCTTGCAATGTTGACAAGGGTAGTGGAAGCGGTCATCCATTACCAGACTACCTCCCTGAAGATGACGACATGCCAGAAACATCAGACAAGGTATTTGTCTTCACATGGTTCATGTTCCTTTTCCTCGCTGCTTACCTCAGCACAACAGTGGCAGATCTTGATATTAATTATAAACTATATTGTGACATGATAACGAGTATGCAGTGAGGATATCATTATTCAAGATACAGCTAATCAGCTAATCAAAGCAACATATTGTAGATTTTCACTGTATGTAGGCCTATTTATAGAATTTAGATTTCACGATCATGCACTAAAAATATGGGATGAAATAAATGTGGGATATCTCCTTTGTCAGTTGTTTATAGAAGAGTGTTCATTGGGGATCAGAAAACAACAAGTTCTTCATACGACATTCATTGTTTAAATTATTTGTAGGCTATATCAAGAGTAGGTGGAGAAGACAAAGAGAATGGATGGTTTGGTAGCGTAACCAGTTTTATAAGCAAGTCCTTGTACTGGTAAACGAAAGGAACAGAAGCCTGTACTACTCAACTGGAATCAAAGCAAGTACTTTGACTGGCGAAAATTTATTGTACATATGAAGCTGTGACCAAATGAGAACATTTTGATTAGATCGTTTTAATTTTTTTAATATTTTTTACCACTACATGCTACTAGCGAAAAGCTGTGAAAAACTTATGAGATTTCAAAAATTTAAGTATTTTTCGCATTTTTTAATCCAAGTGGCAACCAACCAACCCCTTCCCCCCAACCCTTCACACACATTGTTACCAAAAAATGCTCAGATCATTGAGTGGACATAACTCTCCCTACTTCTTTTTGGAATGAGCATGTCTGGCCACATAATTGACAATGACTAGACATCAAGTTGTTTTTACCACAGCACAAGATTATAATGACCTAGATTTGTGTAAATATACGAGTGAGTCAAAGCAGAGTGTAAATAAAAACCTTTGTTTTGAGTGAACCTTGTCTCTATGTACAGACACTTGAAATAATATAGATGTACACTGACAGTACTGCAAAAGTTACTGGATAGTCTGTGGTATGGAATTTTTTTCACAACAGCAATCACTTGAAAATATCGACCACTTTGGCAAAAGTTGATGAAATATGTGCTATAGGACTGTTTTGAGTCTTTCTTTGTATAAGAAGAAATAATAAACCTCACTGATATAACAAAAGGATTGCATTAAAAGAAATGTTTGTTGTGAAGAGGGATAGGCARAACATGAGATAAGAGTTAGGAGATGCTTTTCATGTAGCAGATTGCTTGTTTTGCCAATCTCCAAATGCTTTTAAACATGAGCCGGCAGTAAGAGGGAGTGTGAATAGTGAAAGAAATGAACAAACATTTCTGAAGAGCATTTAGATCCACAATCTGAACTCCGACAAGCAAAATATGAAATGTGGGCCCCAAAATATGGGAAGTTACGTAGACACTGGAAAGGCCAAGCAATACATGTACGAGCCACTGGATGGAGTGCCAGGTATTTATTTGAACCAGTCCCATTGGTCCATTTTAAAATTTAAAACTATTTGCCGTAATATGATTTAATTAGGCTAAGTTCAAGACTGAACTAAATTTATTATCAGCAAAATAAATATGGCATTTAAAGAAAATAAAGATTATTCATAATTACCCTTACCCAAACCATGATTTTAGGTTTAAATCATAAATCTAGGCCCAGTTATACGAAGGGTGGAAAGTGCTATCCAATGGATAAATCATATTCAGTGGATAAATGTATTGGATAACAGTATCACTTTATCCACTGGATAAGGATTTACACGAAGCATTGCCATGCATAATAGACCAGTTTCGAATTCCAAATTACCGCTGTGTTCCTTGATTACAGACTCATTGCACAGGGTTAGACTCGTATCAGTGTTTAAATGTTCACAAATACCAACAGAAAAGTAAAGAATGCACAACTTCAACAATACAAACACTTTGAAACTCGACGGACCTTGACTGGAACACRTGAATATTCTGCACAAACTCGAGGCTAACCCTGTGCAAATGAGTCTGTAATCAAGAAACACAGCGGTAATTTGGAATTCRAAAGGGGTCTATTGAGAAAATCCTTGTTCAAGTTGAATGCAAACACGGACAGTTTTTTTTATCTGATTTACAGACTTCTCCTTGGTGACTGGTTTCTATTGTATTTTTCTTATTAATTATTCACAATTAAATAAGATAAAATTGAAATAACCTAAAACTATTAGTATCTAATATGCCCTGATAAAATAAAACCTTGGAATAAAATATGCAGAAATGAAATATAGTATGTAATAATGGATTACGACTGGCAAACTGCTAATTTCCCAGAAAAAGATGGGAAAGTTACCAAGCTTTGAAGTTGTTCCTATATAATATGGATGCACACTTACATACATATTCATGATTTAAATGTGACCAAAACGGACCAGGACATTGTGGAGCATAAAATCCAGACCTGRAGCTGTGTAGTCAAGATGCTGGCCCCTCCTTTAACCAGTCTGCTTTGTTGGGCTGTCTGCAAAAGGGGAGCATTCAAAAGATGGGCCAGCCTCAGGACTCAGATGGGCTGTGTTAATATGTCATTACCTGTCACTCCTCTATTGTGTAGTTCCAAAAATTATCCATACCCCCTCACGGAGGAATTTTTTTAAGACACCCCTGGCCCCCTACCCCCCAGAAATTCCAATTTCCTTCCATACAAACTCTGTAATTTTTGTTCTTTCTCTGACCCCCCCTACTCTTCAGAAATTCCAAATTCCTCTGTGGGGTGGGTATGGATGATTCCTGGAACTACACATTATAGACTTAATACACAATGTAACAGTAATTATTCTACAACATTCTGCTATTAATATTAACACTTTCTCTGGTCCCCTAGCCAGTATAGGTATCTGCATTTAAGGGTCTTAAGGTACTGCTACACGAGCTGAATTTATTATGCAAATTGGGAGGTATCTTCTTGGTCACACCATAGGAAGCCTAATTTAGAAATTGCAAGATGAAAAAAATTATCTAGATAAGAAACCCTTAACTGAAGGTTTTGTGTTTGACACCATGAAAGTATGCTAAATAATATAAGTAAATGAATGGAAATATCATGCAAAACCACAGTATATTATTTTTTGAAAGGCCCAAAAAAGTATTGCAATTTAATCTAAATTGGGCTCCCTATGGTCAGGGTTAGGCTTCACGAATTTGCAACGTCCCCTGTGATTGGTTAGGTTTAGGGGCGGGGTTGGGGAAAGGTCATTGTTTTCTATTGTTCTATACATGTGTGCCTTCCAATAGGATCACATCTTGCAAATTCGTGAAGGACGACCCTATGGTCACACCTTTTGATAATAATTGATATTAGTGAACAATTCAATAATGTATTAGATATAAATTATTTCATTTTAATCAATCTCCCTTTTTCCCATTTCCAGCACTTCGTATCGTTTGTCTTGTATTCTTCTTCGGAGTAACAGAGGTCCAGTCTTCATTACTCCAACTATCACCCTGACTCCAGTCATCATTCCCTTCCTCACTCCAGCCATTAGTGTCCCAACTATCTTGATTTTTCTTAGCTTTGGAGGTCTTCTTTCCATTTAAACTTGAAGATTTCATCTTGGGTTTAGCAGTGCTCTCGTCGTCCCATCCCCAAGACTCATCAAAATCACTACTTGATTGCTTCCGCAGGTTTGTACTGCTGCTACTGCCATTCTTGGACCCATTATTTACCATCTTACTTGTTTCTTGATTCACAGCCCTTGCCTCTTGTTGTTTTCCTGCCGCTGATGTTTCTCCCCATGCCCAGAAGTCTTCTTCACTCTCTTCTTGTTTCATAGTAATCTGTGTGGGATCGTTTATACTTCCATACCCTCCACCAGAAAAACCCTTACTGGTATTTAAATTCTCTGGTTCGTTTTGGCCGACATAACTCTGTATACTGCTCCAACCTTTGGTACTTGCTGTCTGGACTGTCGACCAGCTCTTTACGCTTGCATCTCTTACCTATGACACCATAAATGATTCATAATTGATATTCAAATACTGATCAAAATTCAAGGGTGTCATTGGCTAAAATTTAACAACACAACATTGGGATTCCATGCTAGGGTTCCTTCCCCCCCCCCCCCCCCCTCCCCCACTATATTATATTTATATTTTAGAACCATCACTCCCTGTATGGGGTGCTTCCATGAGGTTTGCTCCACACACACAACAGCTATATTCTATATTTACGGCATACACCACTCAACTATGTGTCAGATGGCTAATAATATAAAGTAAAAACCCCAGTAGAAAGAGGAGTAGAAGAATATGACAAAGAGAGAAAAGTATGGTTTGCATTGATACATTAGCAAATTTGACAACACACATTACATTTTTGATTTTTGTATGACTGGGATGAATGCACTGTAGAATAAATGAATGTAAGAAATGAATACTCTGTTATCATCCTTTAGAAACAATAAACAGAGGAATACATGAGCACAGTGATGATGATGATGTATATGATGATCATGTATTATGATGATGATGACCATGATGGTGGTGATGATGTATTATGATGATGATGATGTATCATGGTGATGATGACCAGTATGATGGTGATAATGATGTATTATGATGATGATGATGATGTATTATGGTGATGATGACCAGTATGATGATGATGATGTATGATGATGATGATGATGTACATGATGATGATGATGTAAATGATGATGTACATGATGATGTATTATGGTGATGGTGACCATGATGATGATGATGTAAATGATAATGATGATGTATGAATGATGATGATGCATATGTTGTATTATGATGATGATTATGATTATGTACATAATGATGTAATATGGTGATGATGACCATGATGATGTTGATGTATTATGATGATGATGGCTATATTAATGTTGATAATCATGATGTTGATGACCATGATGACCATGACAGGTGATGATAGTGACGACCAAGATGATGATGATGATGTTGATGCTGATGCTCATGATCATCATGATAATGGTCATGATGGTGTTTGTGGTGTTGATAATGAATAACAGGTTTTGATGGATAGAGCATACCTTGCTTGCTATTTGCGACATGGAAGATGTCATATCCTCAAATAGCTTGCCTTCATGCACCTTTAGTTAAGGAAGTTCCATGGAAGAAAGATTAATTCAATGATATAGATTGCGCCAACATTTTGAATGAATGCTATTTGCAGCATGCGTCTGACAGTATGAGGCTGTCAAGTAGAATAAAAGTACATTGCAAAAATTGCAAAGCAGCACCAAAGCAGCATGTAAAACCACCATTATAAGTCTGTGATTGAATGCTAATTGTAGTATGCAGCTGCATGAGGGAAGAGATTACCATGTAGAATAAACACACAATGCAAAAATTGCAAAATATCACCAAAAAGGGTTTGCACAAGCAATGGGCAGTAGGATATTGTGTAGAAGAAAGGTATACTACAAATGGCACAAAAAAGCCAGGAGGACTTAATGCTGCAGGGTAAATGATCAACTCRTTGGTTAAAAATACATTATTAATTTATGGCTGTAAGACTGTATCAAGATGGTGTTTAGAATAATAACGCAGCCAGCAAATGAAGGGCTAGGCTTTAAGTTTAGATCAAGTAACATGTGCAGAATAAGTGGAATTGGTGGTTGTACTTTGGAAGAGGATGTGATGCACAACAAAAAGAAGCAACTGGAGCACACATACAGTAACTCCAGCCAAATGCGTAGCATTAGTATTTCAAAAAAGCGTCCGATATGTTCAGTTGGACAGGCTAATAAGCTGACATTGAAAGTGGCTGACTGCTATTTACTGCTGATAAAGATGATCAACCTTGATTGGTGGATTGATCAATTGACTGCTCAGTGCTACAAAGGCATATGCTGATAAGTATTGTAGCCAATGGTGATATTTCTGGTGACACTTCCGACTGAAGAGCTGTGGTCTAGTGTCATACACTGACTGTAATGCAGCTGCCAGAGGTGACTACACATGCTTTTYAGTAGGACACAATTGAGGGGCACCATTGCAGCTTGTACTCATGGTGGTAACTAGTGGTAACCATTTTTTTGGTTTTGGATTAAAAATTTTAACTAATGTCTTGGTATTATCAATACACCTTTCTCATAAATGGCCACCAAACGCAGTTGGCACTAGGGACAATTGCATGGAAGGGAGGTCAGAAAGGCGTCATTAGTAAGCAAAGGTTACTCAGTTTTACCATCTTTTGTGTCAAAGTCATTCACCCTTACTTCAAGAGATGGTTAAAAGAACTCAAATTGGTGAGATGAATTACTTTGACACAAAAGATCGTACTGAGTAGACTTTGTTTACTAATGAGGCTTTTCTGACCTTGCTTTCATTCAATTGTCCTTAGTCCCAACCTTATTTGGCAGACTCATTTATGAGAAAGGTCTATGAAGTTTTAACAATTGAAAATAAAAAAAGATTTTGAGAAGGCTTGTGGTAGCTTAGGTATGAAACATCATCAGGGTTAGGGTCTGTTCATTGCTTCAAATTGACCAAAAAAATTTTTTTACTTTCTTGACTAATCTCTACAAATTCAAATGCAGAGGCAAGTCAGTAAGTAACTAACTGATCCAACTAACCTTATCAGTAGTTGGCTTCACTATAGAATCATTCAGTGTTGTTCCCAGTTTTGCAGCCTTTATTGGAAAATAAATGAAATTGATAAGATAACCCCCAATTATTGTGACATTGTGGTTTAAAGGATGGGTACCAAAGAATGTCATGTCTTCTGTACCATGATGGTGCAGTGTGCCTTGGCTTTTCAAAGTCATAGAAAATCCACTCTAATAGTTAAAACTATAAATGACTGGTTCCCTTTACCTTGTCTGCTGTTGGTTTGACCACATTTTCATTCAGTGTGCTTCCAAGTTTAACAGCCTATTTAAAAAAACAAACAAACTTACAGTTAAAACCCATGTGCCGTGCTTTCCTTAACACTTATCTATTGTTCTGCCAGTCCCTACATACTTTGTACAAAATAAAATATAAAATAAAATAAATAGGATTTAGCAGTGGCATTTCCACAGAGTGGAAGTTAGAAGTTAATCTTTGCGGAGGGAGAAAAACCGGAGAACCCGCAAAACCCTGGAAGCACAGGAGAGAACCAACAAACAACTCTACTCACATGACACCAAACCCAGCAGGACTTGAACCTCAGTCGTTGAGAGGCAAGCGCTCTCACTGCCATGCCACCCATGTTGACCATGGGTACATTATACTTTATAAATGCAAAACGGCACACAGCATGTGCATGTTTTTCATTTCTTTTTCTTATTTTGCCCTTCCAAAAGATGGTTATGTTGCAACCATTATAGGCAGATATTTCAGTGAGTTTTTCTTAGCAGTGCCTTCTTAGCAAGAATAATTTTGTATGTGTTTACCTGAGTAGAGGCTGTAGATGCAAGCTGAACAGCTCCAGCAGCAAATGAACTCCATCCCTTAAGAAAATATAAGAGGACATAAAATTTAAAAAACTGTCAAATATTTAATATATAATTGTATTTTATGTCAAAAATTTGTTTTAAGCCCCCTAGCCAGACATTGGTGAGTCAGTGAGTTAGTGAGTCAGTAAGTCAGTAAGTCAGTAAGTCAGCAATTTAGTAAGTTAGTAAGTGTATTGGTTTAGTTACCTTACAGAGGAAATATAGAATAAGGAGAAAGAAAGGAGTGTTTTACAGATGATGTCAGAAGATCTAATTGATAATTAATGAAAATAATAATAATAACACACACTCTAGTTGCAACAACAATTATTTACTTACACTTGAGAGGGAGCTTAAAGCCATGTCCCAACCTTCGAAGAAAATATCATAATTTTTAAACAGGTATTGGACAACTGGGAACATACAGGTATAATATTATTGAATCTATTTCAACGATTTTATATAAGTGTAATCATTACGTATACACAATTTTTAATCCTAGGTACATAAGTTATAACCTTGTTACCTGTGTTGGGATTTGTGTTTGCAACTGTCATATTAGGCTCTGATCCAAATCCAACATACTTTCCACCTTGGCTTGGATGAAGGTTACTAAAGAATGAYGGCAAATGTTTGCATCATTAAATCTATCTGCAACCACAATGATGTACCCTTGGTAGTTCCAGAAATTATCCATACCCCCAATTTATGATTTACGAGGGGTGGAGGGTGGAGGGTGGGTGGAGGGGGGGGGGTTGGGGTCAGAGAAAATTACAGTGTTTGGGGGGAGTGGGTAAGGATAATTTCTGGAACTTCACAATCTCAGTTAATTTCACAACTGAGCAGGCAGACACATCAATAAATTGTTAAAAATACGAAAAACATACTCTGGTCTAGATGCATTTTCTTCATGTTTCCTGCTAAGGAAGCTATCTCTTTGTGCATTAACTTCTTGCCTTGAAATATGAAGAAAAAAAGATTTTACTTGTATTGAACATCTACTAGTTGTGAAGCAGGTATATTATCTGAGGCATAGCATAGTAAGAGTGTCGATGATGGGGGTGGGGGCTAGTTAATATTTTGGTTAAAAAGTTTGCACCAAATCCACAGGAATCCCATGACACAATTTATCAAAACCATCATGTAGTAGTACAGGGAATATTCATATTGGTTGTCCAGGGGTAAAATGGAACCTTTTCAAAATTATCTTCAATTCAAGGCTAACATGGCATTACAACTGTCAGATTCCATTGAGAAAAAGTGTATTTTCCTTTTACAACTTCCTATTATGCTCCCATACAAGATAATATTGTGAGAGTAGTAAATTGTGGGGATCAGAGAGAGATTAAAAAATGATGTCCCTTCATAACATTTCTCACAAGATGTGTACAGTCCAAACTTACCTTGATAGCCCCATAAAGCTAGGAGTTGATGCACTGTGATGCATTCCACTAGATGACACCCCTCTGCTTGAGACGTTAGCACTGCTGGGTGTTCTGTGGAAAGGAGGGACCCAGTTCTTTGCCGACGAGGTCTCTGGTGACCAAGAACGTCCTTCTGATAAAGTTGTGATCTGTTATGAATGTAAAGATTTTCAGGTTTGACTTTCATTCCAAATGCTTAGCTTAATGTAATGATTGATTATGATGAAGAGTTTAAGTATTACTGACTACCACTTTGTTACTATTATTACTACTATAAATCTYGCTTTCCGACATCAACACTGTGTGTGAATGATTGAGTATTGATCATCTTCTGCCATTGCCTGGTTTACGACTGCAAACAACATGGACAAGCTGCATTATCTATTAAGTTCTTCATTACTAATTTTTGCTTACCTTATCTCGATAAAGTGCTGCTGCTTTTGTGTTATATTTTTCTTGTAATGACATTCCACTATGAACATCAGATTGTGAATCAAAGAAGACCTTGGCTTTCTCATTCCCACCAACCTTAATAAACAAAAAAAACATTGTTATTTACCAAGGATGCATATATTCTCCCTTTCTGTTTACTTTCTCACATAGTCCACTCCACTGATAAAATGTACTCATCATTATACCACAATATTTAAAATTTAACACTATTATCTATAAATCCAAATATATTGTATTTAGACTAGTAGAAGATTGCCATCCAGTGCATTTTTCCATTAAAATTCTTATAAAATATTTGAATTTCAATATTCAATGCAATATCTCCTTTGTCACATGTTAGAAGCTGAAACTTTGATTTTTTACTAATACTGAGGTGTTCATTCTTGACATGATTGCATGTTTTAATGGGGTAGTGTCATGACCTGTTATTTAGTGCAAATAGCTTATTCAACAATCAAACAAAAACCCCTCTAATTCTATTATATTTTGCAAACTTCCATGAGGTGTGACACAGCAAGTACATTTTGCCAACATCTGGGATATAAACTTTTCAAAACTTACTTGTTGCRTCACGCTTCATGGAAACTTGCAAATAGTAGTAACAACATACTGTACATGTATATTACAAAGTACAGTGTATGGTAGAATCATAGTACCTTCATCTTTTCTAATTCAGAATCTTTCCATTTGTCCATCGTGACTGATCTGACAAAACTATGAAAAACAAAAAAAGAAAACATTTCCAAGTCAGGTTGTGTTTATTTAAAAAAATATATAAATAATATCTTGATTATCTAGACTCAAACTATCCCCTCCCCTCCCCTCCCCTCCCAACTAATTGGCTGTCCTAATGGAAGGTAATTCTTTTTATTTTGGGGGAGGACTGGTGCACTAAAAGGAAAGGCCATCAGTGGACATTTAAATATTTGTGGGGGTCAAACCATTACATTTTGACTACGAGGCTAGTGAACCAATTGCATCCCCCCCCAATAATACACACACACTGTTCCTTTATCTCAGTAAAGACTTTTCTGGCTATGGCCCTGCCTGTCGACTTAATAGAAGGGTCATCAATTTCTTTCTCAGTGAGATGGGGAGGACTACAACTATTTCTAAAAAGTTTACTGCCAATACCCCCCCCCCTCCCCACCCCCTGGCCACCCAAATGTATCTTCCCTAAAGATCAATGAAAAAATATAACCATTTGTGATATATATTTTCATGAATATAACTTGACTTAATAAATTGATAGAAGATCTAACAATACTACCATAAATTAAGCAAAAAATTAATTCAAGCTGGGGTACTATCTTTGAACTTTGGTCTTCTAAATCTTTTATTTTTGACTATCAAAACAACGACATCGAAATACATCAAAATAAACCAGAACGTTTCAGAAATCTATTAATTTAATAAAGCAGGGATTCTTGCTGTTGTTTCTTGCTAAAAGTTTAAGACCGAAAAATAAATTTTCCCCGCAAGACTCGTGTTGCCCAATCGACCGAATACAAACACAGTGATAAATGACATCACTACCGGTTCTTCATAAATTCTAAATGAAATACAAAAAACTCAAAGTATCTTAAAATCTAAATTTCAAGTACACATAAAGTAAGAAGACTCTTTTGAGTTTAATATCCGTACCTTAAATGAACTCCAAGTCCTCTGTGTTTGCCGGAACACTCAAGACAAATCCATATTCCGTACGTGACACTGACCCACTGAGGGTTGTGAGCGCCGCATTCGAAACACTCCTATAACAAAAATATAACGCTTTATTCGTTTATTCTTAGCCTATGTTATTAAGAAATATCTAAGCTTTGTTTGTGAGAAGAATGTGATCTTCCTTACATTATTTCCATCTCTTGGTTTTAATTCTTTTAAAGCTCTTCGTGTTCGTGGACTCGCCATTTTTTCACTAAACTCCTACGTAGCCTTTCCAGAACCAAGCTCTTGCAGACTTCTGGGATACTGTCCTACATTTTACTTCCGGTACATAACCGGAAATAAAAGTCCTCTGTTAAAGACTGTATAGCTAGTATGGCATAATTTTGCCAGAGAACAAAGATACGTATTTTATTCTTTAAATAAACGTTTTGTGAGTGATGTTCTTCAGTCGTAACTGTAATAAAGGAAAATCAAACTTCATTATCCAAGATTATCAAGGAAGATTGACGAGGAACAGGAGGAAGGGCAAATAAAAGTGAAACGAGAACGTAAAGAACACTGTAAGAATATTAGAAAGTCGTACGACTAGTACTAAACAACAAGATGAGAATGTAGGGCCGAGCTATATAGGCTAATGATGATGGGTCAAATTCATCTTCTCACGATGTAAGCTTACAACATATGCCAGATAACAGTGATTGCTTCGATGTTCAAGTTGACGAGCCTGGTCCATACCACTGGGTTACAAAATCAAAGCTTTTACAACTCCAGTAGTTACTGGCTTACAAACCATTCATTTACAATAAATTATTGCAGTAACTACTGGGTTACAACATCAAAGCTTTTACAACTCGAGTAGTTACTGGCTTACAAACATTGATTTACAATTGCAGTAACAACTGGGTACAACATACATTTATCAAAGAAACAAATGATATAATTACCATGGCATTTAGATCAAAGAAAAATTTTAAAAGGTTGGGCGGAAATATCCCGTTTTCGGGAAAGACTGAACCATCTAGAATATTAAAAAAGACTGGGCCGAGTTAGAGCCAAGACTCCTTGACCGCGAACAGAATAGTCATGCGCAGTAGCAGCATTAGAGGCGAGGCGGAAGAGGCAAAATGGCGAAAAAGAGTTACGATTACCTCTTCAAACTGCTTCTTATAGGAGATTCCGGGGTTGGAAAGACGTGTATACTTTTCAGATTCTCAGATGATGCTTTCAATACAACTTTCATCTCGACCATAGGTAAGTGGAGGTCTTTTCTTGGGTGATTTGACCTGATCGCCAAGCTTTGCTTCGGTCCAACGAAAATAACTGCAAAAAATGTAGATTTAGGGTTATTTTGTGTTAATTTATGCACTCTTATTATTTTTGTTTTACTTCGAATAACATATACTGTTATTAAGTATTATTTCTTACTGAATAAAGCGTTGTGCAATTTTTCTTGTAGGGTTTTGTGTTACTGAGAAACTTCCAAATCATGACTTTCACTTCCGAGAAAACTTGGACGAATAACCTAATTTCAGCTCTTGTCTGGCTCCGTTGCGCAATAAATAAAGAAATGATAGATATATATTTGTTCTAATCTTTATTCCAATATCAAGAATTTGACAATTCCCGAGTATTAAAGCTAGGTGTAAACGCTCAAATTCCATAAGTCGTAGTAAAGAACCCTAAATGACTCATTTAGTAGGAATCTGGAGGGGCACATATCGAGGGGTGGTATATTTGCATTATCTGAATTACGTTTCTTAGATTCAATGTTTACCTAAAACACTTCGTGTTCAGTCCATGTTCCTAAGAGTTTCTTTCCATTCGCGAAGGAAGTATTAAGATCGACTGTCGTTTACTGTCAAATCATATACTCCGTACTTTGAACTTTGTCCACGATGATGCACAAAATTTAAGCTTACGTTATCAAAGTACAATAAATACTAATTATACCAATTGGCAGTAAAAAATTCATTCAAAACAATCCATTTAATTAAGTTCCCTTTATCAAGCATATTTTATGATGCAGTGCAATTTACAGCTCTTTTTTTAGACAATTATGTCATTAATTAAGCTGCATTTGTGCATCTGTTTTGATAGCAAATTCTATGAATAGAATAGTTGCTACTTTTTCTATGGATTCCCAATCATTTTCTATTTGTATTTTAGTCAATTATGTCCTTGTTTTAAAACCAACAGGAAATACATTGCTTTAAACTGAAATGTTATTGCTCAAGCAATGCTATTATTATATTTTTATCAATTCAATCAATAAAAGGATGTATAGAGGGTATTCACCAGAGGAAATCTCTCCTGGTAGCATTGTTCTTACCCTACGACATGGTTGTCATAAACCTCTTTGTTAATTTCATATTTACCGTAATAAAGTTACATTACTTTTTTTTTTTGAAAAGGTTTCTGAATTAAGGAGAATTAGGCAGTAGATGTAAAAGTTCTGGGCATTGAACAATATTATTATTGTTATTATTATTATTGATCAGAAAAAGATTCCTTGCCTCTAGTTGTTATTACGTCCCTCTATCCACTTCAGTTTTCACTTTTTAATCAGTTTTCTTCCTTTGAATATATGCATTACAATAGTTATTAGGAAGTAATGTAAAATCTTTGTCTTCAAATGATGCGCATAGATCTTTCAGTTACTATTTTTTCTTTCATTGAAGGAATCGATTTCAAGATCAAAACCATTGAAATGAAGGGGAAAAAGATCAAGTTACAAATATGGTAAGCTTTGAAATCTCAAAAGATAATTGACTTATCTATTTGTATGTAAGGTATTATTGTTTCAGACCTCCAGAAAATGAAACTGCTATTCTTTTTCCTAATTTTCATCCGTCATATAAAGCTTTGAAAAAAAAATAATCTAGAGATTGAGATTGTTTGGTACATGATCAAAGTGGTGATGGCTAACTCAAATTGGAATATAGCTCGTTAGGTTTTGTGCAGGAAGAAAAACCAAAGAACCTTTAGAAAAACTCTTTAATCAAGGGGTAGACCTAATAAACTTTACTGGCATGTGGTAACAAGTCCAGGAATCGAACCTGAGTTACAAAGCATAACAGTATGTCCATCCATGAATGTYCTATTCCTTGCGTTATTTAAGAAACTATAAAATTAGGTGCTTAAGTCCAATTGCTTTCTCCAATCAGGGATACCGCTGGCCAGGAAAGATTTCATACCATCACAACGTCTTATTACAGAGGAGCAATGGTATGTGAATAAATACATCATTGTTCATAAGATTATTGATAGTTCTTAAGCATTCCCAAGAGACTCAAGTGGTAAAAACATGGCAGCCATGCTTGTGGTATTGACAATAGAAGCTAATGAGAAATCAAGTGGAAAATACCACTAACATAGCTGCATCACATGACGAGGAAATGAAAATAAATTGACAACAGGAACTTAGGTGGAAATTTTGTATTCGCATGATTGACTTGACTCACAAGGTTTTATGAATACCATAATGGCCATGTGTTATTTAGAATAACATAAACACTAGAGTAGTTAATTCCATATGACTGTGGAAAGCTTGCAGCATGAACAGCAAAGTATATGCCAGACCAATCACATTATTCGAGAATTTACTCTCCATGGCTGTGACCTTGGCATGGTGATGCCAAGGTCACAGCAATGCCARACCAATAGACCTCTTTGGCTCTGACGTAATGTTTTCCCATTTCAGACCACATGTCATTCCCTAGAGTATCATTTCTTTGTTTAAGGTTTGTGCTCGGTTACACATGAGAAGACACATGAATATGGATACAACTAAAACAAAGAATCTTATTCTCAAGGGAATGACACATGTTCTGAAATGGGAAAACATTACCTCAAACCGAAGAGGTCTTGTTACATTGGTTATTACCCAGAGTTACAAAAAGCCACTCATATTTTCAATACATTTGCTTTAAAGGGTATAATGTTGGTTTATGATATCACTCAAGAAAAGACATTTGAAAACATCTCAAAGTGGCTAAGAAACATTGAAGAGGTATTTGAAATAATGCATCATAAACAATTTACTAGTAAATAAAAAAATAATTACTATACTTTAAAGTTAAATAAGGAATACATACCTTCTCAAAATAAGGCAAAATTCTTTATGTTATGGCTCTTAGCTCACCTCTAGGAAATTGATTGACAAAAAAATGTACCCAAGAGCAACTTTGTCCACAATAGACCGTTTTCTCAAGGTTGCATGCACATCCAAATTTAAGGAACTTGATGGGCCACGATACTAGAACAGGAGCTTTATAATGAGAATTATCATACAATTCTATTAGATTTTTCAATGAAAATTTATCAAATCAGTTATTCTCCAATTTACAGCTGTATAGCTGGCTTCTCAGTTTTACTGAATTTGCGTTTTTCAGTTTTGTGGCCCGTCAAATTGGATGCACAACCTTGAGAAAATGGTCTATTAGAAATTTTTTTTCCTTTTTGTGGTTTTCCAGTCAAACATCTATGCGTTGACCACAATGTATGGTGTAATGGTAGTCAGTCATTAAAATTGTTAACATACCATTTCCAGTATCTAATAGTGTGTTCAACTTGCACTGGTCACAATCTAGAATGTATTCATTTAAGGTTTACTATTTATTGCAGCATGCAAATGAAGATGTTGAAAAGATGATACTTGGAAATAAATGTGACATGGATGACAGGAGAATAGTCAGTAGAGAAAGAGGAGAGCAGGTAATTAACTTTAGCAGAAGGGAAACTCGGAGGGTGTATCTAGGGGTCACAGGTGCAAGTGACCCACTTCCCATTAGCAGATTGGTTGATACATAGATGTGTATTAGGGAGGGGAGGGATGGAAAAATGTTAGATATGTCATGTCCCTTGAATTGGCGTACATTGGGGAGGGTCACTAGCTTTAATGCAGGTAAAATTAGGACTCTATATGTACATGTATGAAAAATAAAAGCTAAAACCATTTATTACGTATGGGGTACAGAGATAAAAAACATGGAGGAATTGAGGGTATTTAGCCCACTCACTTTTAGACCAATATCTATTAAAACTTCAACGCTTATAGATTCCTCCACAACTTCAAGATTGTTCTGCAGGCCCTAGGGAATGATCGGAATTTGTATAAGTGGTMAAGAAGATTTGATAATGACATGATTTACACCAATTTGTTTCCTAACGATTTTAGATTAAAGGACTCTTATGTGTGTGTGTGTGTGGAATATTTGTTTTATTTCTATTTTATGACTCCCTTCACAGATTGCAAGAGAACATGGTATTCGCTTTTTAGAAACTAGTGCTAAGACAAATGTGAATATTGAGGATGCATTCTTCGCTTTAGCACAAGATATTCTTAAAAAACAACTGACCAAGGACAATGATGAGCCATCCAACAACATTCATGTTCAGGATTCAAAGGACCAAAAGAAAGGTTGTTGTTAAGTTAAAATTCCTCTTCCATCATCCAGAAGAATAGAAAAAATCCTAATAACCCACAATTCTATTGGGTGGTAAATRTTCTGACTGTCCTTATTGCCTGGTATTATGGAGTGTATTAGATGAATATAGCACTCAATTGTAATGCAAAATTGATCTCATTAGATTATAGAGGAAGAGGCCTTTAAAGCCAAAAGTAATAATTATGCTCCAGTTCATGGTAAAACTAAAAGATAGCGATCATTTTTTAGTCTCATTTGCTGCCATTTCATTTTGCTCTCGTTAGTTCATTCGTACATTTAAATTTCGTTTTTCGCCCAAGTTATTTGAACATTTAATCTTGAGTCATGACATTAATGGCTGCAGATGAGGCTAAGATTCCTTAGAAACATTCGGTAAAAATTATATTGGAGGAAAAATTTAACCTTTGACCTCAATCACAGGAGTTTATGTTTATTAAGGAGGTTTTAAAGCTAGGGGGACTCATAAGAGACAATGTGGATGATTCTAAAGATAAAAAGAAAAAAAACTTGAACGAAGTCAGACAAACAGTAGTACTATTCGTTTTGTTTCTAGATAATAACCCCAAATACACAACTACTATTTATATTTTTTCACAGTATAATAGCTAATGTATTTTATGGTTGTTGTTCAGAAGTGGGGCTAAAAATAATGGCTGGTCAGGGACGATGTCTATCCAGAATTGTCACTTGTCTGGCCAAAGACCTCTGGTGCTCTTGCCTGGTCATCCTAACTGGTCACATGTTGATCAGTCAGATGTGATCAGTCATTAAGCAGCCATTACTTTTAGCCCTGAGTAGTGAAAATGAACACTTCATCTTTGTATATGCTTTCATATTATGACTATTTCTCTTATTAGCTATAAGGTACTTGGTAATTAATATAGAATGGTCTGGTCTGGGTGAAAATTGGAGCTATCTGATTATACCCTAAAAGTTTGGAATCTGGAAGTCCAAATCAGCATTCCAGAACAATTTTTCCTCCATGAATGTTTTGGAAATTGGATTTATGTAGAAGTTTGCTTAACTCCTTACTTCTCTTTGCTTTACTCCTCTCTCCCAGTATTCCTTTGGCCCTAGAGGAGTAGTATTGATGTTAATCTCCTACCTGGACCTCACACTTGTTCAATGTAAACCCCTGTATCTTGATTTTCTAGTATTCTCAAGATGAAAGGTTAATAGAAGATTTGGCCATCGTTTTGGATAAGATGAAAATTTCAACCAATAGTCTGTCAATGTTTCATATGGGGCCTAAATAATTGACAGYGGAGATCTAGGTGGTTTGTGCTTGGTATTGCATATGCATCTGTATTATCTCATATGATAATACTTTCCCACCCTTCCCTCCCCAAAAATAGGTTTGTCATGTGAATACACTTCGATCATGTTTATATCTAAAGCAAGCAATAAAAGTTTAAAGGGTGATTTTTTCCTTTCATATAAGTATTTCATTGTATTTTTGCCATTTAGATAGTCATTTAYGTAATTACCATGGCTAATGGGTTATAGTATCAAGAGAATTGTATTTAAATTAATTAATCAAATCTCTATTTTGCTTTGTATTGATGTACCAATTGATGTTGTACAAGTTACGCACACTAAAGACGACTGTCCACCGCGAAACCAAAGTGTGTTAATGAGTTTTTTAATAAATAGGTATTAAAATAAGAGAAATGTCATTGATCGTGATGTTGTTATATTTTATTCTAATATTTTTAGATTCGATTCCTTTTTTTGACTTTTTTTTTTCCAGGGTTAATGCAGACATTTCAGGAGAAGAGAGGGAGGGGGGAGGGGGTGGGACAGAGTTGGTAAACTGTACGCATGGAACTTCTTTATCATTTCATGTAGTGATTAAGTACTAGTTTGTGTGAATGAATGATGCTCGCATCTGATTAAAGCTGGTTTGTAGTAGTGACATTAATTAAGGGTTCCAGTGCTCGTCTCCACTGTAATAGAAAGTACGACAGCTTTTGCAATCAATTTTCATAGCAGTGCCCTTATAAGTGAAAAGGTCTACCGCGCGCTCTCTAGATGGGCTGGAGCAGCTAAAAAAAAGGTAACTCAAGGTGGCCCCTATAAAGTACGAAGAAGCTTGCGGATGATCTTTTTGTGCGCTTTTTGTCTTCCTATGGAGATTTCCTATGCTGCGCAGACATCAGACCCGCCCAGTCGCCGTTCAACTGATTTGCACCGTGCTCGGGGCGCGTTAAGTTTAACATGATAGCCACGGCTTAGGAGAGCATTGTGTCTTACGCCTCCCACGAAGAAAGAATAAAGATTTAAGGCATTTGATGGTATATGGTGGTTTTATCTAACATACTTTGTTTACGCAGAAGGGTTTTATCAGCTGGTTGACTTTGTGTGTAGGATGTAAGCCCACCAAACTGACCACACAACACACGCCCACAGTGACGGGTTGAGCACATCCGTCTCACTAACATGCATCAAAACGATGCTCAAAGTATACTCAAAACTATAACCACTTTATAAGCTTGTCAGCTGTATTTACCAAGAATGACTTCTGATCGGCAACTCAAGTAGCAAGACATAGCAAATCGTATTTTTCATCTCTGTTAATGATGACCACAGGTGGTCGGTTATATAATCCGGCGGGAACTGATGCGGTCACAACCTGCACTCCATTTGCTGTCGTTAACCGTGCCATGATAATGGAAGTCTGCCGGAGCCGAACAGGCCAGAACAAACCTTACTTGTGAGGTCACTACAATGAAATGACGTCGTAGGTCACGAACACTGTTTGGTGACGTCATAAATTATTCACTGGTCAAAAAAACGTGGTAGTTTCCTGCAAGGACACATCATTGCCTTTGTTGGCCTACTATAAACTCAAATCGCTTTTATTCATAAGACTGAGCAATAAAACTACTACTTTTTTCCTACTTCATTGACCATGAGTTGAAAATGCGAAAACTGGATCTCATCCGAATCAATTTTTCTCTCTTAATTTATGTCACTAAGCTTTTGTGTAGGCCTGAAACTAAAATGTGAGAAAACGTAGAAAATATGGCTTTGTCAAGAGCGAAAGAAAGATAAATATGGTTTAGTCAGAACTTGACGAGAAGTTTTAGTATATCGCGGGTAGCACGCATCCGCTGAAGTTACGGAACAGCCTTGGGGGAAAATTCGTTGAAACGTGCTTCAAATTTATTTACAAATACAAATTATAAAAAGAACAGCTAATTACCATGACAAAACACTTCTGGTTAACAAAAACAACCGGAGGATTTCAGTCCAGGAATTAAAGAAAATGACATGGGRAAAAATAAGCTTAGTGGTCGGACTAGAAGTCTTTAGGCGCGTTTATATTCGGGAATTTAACGTAGCAACGTATCGGGAATCCTTTAATGTTGAACGGCTGGTGCCGACGTTACGAAGTCTTTTTTAAGATAGTTTAAGGAGTTTTCGTTTTCAGTTATGAGCGGATTAAAGATATTATTGTCGAGATGACATGCACTGCTAATGAAACTGAACTGTAACTTTCTCTTTATGATAACAATAAATAAATAATACGTTGTATTATTAAAACTCTTAAAATCTGAGCTAAACAAGCACAAAAAAGAGGTGAGCATATTTTGTACTTTTTTCAAGACAGTATGAACATATTTTTACTCGCATAAGATCGCTTACGGATAGCGTTACTTAGGACTTCCGGTTAGTCAACCATGGCGGAAATGCGACGCATTCATTCGCGCCCTGCCTTCCCATACTGCCATTCGAGCCTTGTCACCGCCATTTTGAGTCCGTTTTGAAGAGAGAAAAATAACTTTTGGAACTGCATCGCGATTTCTTTTTCGTTTTCTAAACTTGTCTTTTAGTTTTGATTCTAGAGAAAACGAAAGCCCAGCCTAGCAACACCAAGAGTATTTGACAGATCGTCATYATTATTTGAGCAAAAAAGAGCGACAAGAATAGCATGATAAAATCCTGACGGGACGCAAAATATTGAAGTCCAACTCGAACGGAAGTCAGCAAGATCGTTGCTTTAACCGTCCGAAAACTTCAATCAGAACGTGAACTCTTGACTAAATCGCCTTATTAGAGCCCTGCGAGTTTACGCCGCTGTGTTATGAGGCTTGAAAAACTGTACTGAATTGACAGAGATTTAGAAAATGTCTCGGAATTCTAAGAGGCATAGCGCGAACCGTGGCTCGACAGGATCTGAAATTGCTCGCTCGACTTTGAAAGTTTTTCTGTCTAATGGTGATTCAAGGTCCGTAAAATGCGGCGAAGCAACGGATATAAAGGTAGGTTAAAATGCTTGAAAATAGCTCTGCAATTCAAGTCATTTATTTTTGAATTGTACCCTAACAGTTGGAACCTTTTGTGATTTGATAAAGCAGTATTCAAGTTTGCTTTATTTAGATATTTTCTCGATCGCTTCAAAAATATTTTTTCTATATTCCCGAGGGCTTTTTCTATTATAAAGTTCTTAAAATTCAATTAAGTTTCGTTCTAAGCGTATTTTCTGACTAAGTTCTTGTTTATTAATGGTATATAGGGCTTAAAGTACTTACATAAAATATAAAAACACTTGAAAAATAAGGCGCATTTTCCTCCCTGAGAAATTTAGTTTCACACTTTGATAAAATGGCAGACAAATGTGATTTTTCTTAAATAGTATTCCAGTTTTATTAGCTCTTTTAGTATTGTTTTAGTGAGAATTTGTATATGAACTATTGTGTAGCTCAGAGATATAAATTAAGGGGAGAAAAGCTTAAAAATATATTACCAGACTCGATGGCTAGCTGCTGGGTATAAATATAAACATTATTAATTAGTAGTGGAGAACGTAAATAAAAATCCCTACAAATTCAAAATTTTCTAGCCTTTTAGATCCAATTTTTTTAAACCTTTACTGCTCAAAATGGCCGAAGTCTAATATTTCTGCAATCTGATTCTTCAAACTTTAGCTTTCAAAACAGATAAGATCTGATGTTTGAGAATATTCCATGAGCCCTTTAGCATTGTTTTGGTGTGCGAACTACAAGATCCAATGTTTTGATCTGTCGTTAATTTTGCGGTTTCAATAAATCTCGCCTATCAACGTGTTGTAGTTTCTCTTCTTACTTAGCGGTGCCATCTATCAATGTGTGTTCGTGTCTGGTTGTGTTCTGATGCAGTGCCCATCTTCCGATCATGACCCTTTCTTTGCCCATCCCGTGATTTTGGGACCAATTACCGGTATTTATATGTTTTCTTAGCATCTTCTTTTTAGTTCTATCTACAGGGTCATCTAGAAATCCAAGACCCGATCTCAGTTACCAATCATCTCCATTTTCCTTGGACAAACATTATTTATTTTTACGAATGCAGTACTATAAAAATAACTTGAATCCCTAAACATTTCAATTGATTAAAAACTGTCTATTTGAAACACAGGGGAAAAAACCCAAATTATTTTTGTGGTTTTTGCTTTTTTAGTTAACACAAAAATGATTAATAATAAGAATTTGGCCCCAAGTTTTATCAAATCTCTGAGCTAGGTATTGCTCTACAGATTTTCTATATCTACAGATATAGAAACACATGCACCTAACTGCAATATATTGCCTTTATGCATGCAATGAAGTGTAAACAGAAGGGGGTGAAATGTACAATGTACAGGCTTTAATTATAAGTGTGGACCACAATAGATAGCAAGAAATAGATTAAATTTAATCGTTAGGAAAAGCCATATTAATGAGAAATAAGCGGAATGCACTTGATGAATAAGAAATGAAATCCCCAAAAGCCTTTAAGAAATTTAAAATCCTTCTGTAAATGTGTTCAATAAACTTAATAGGATATTTATTTGCTGTACTTATTTTTGTAAACAGGTTTTTGAACTCGGATAATTAATTTACGAATAGTTAAGTTGGAATGAGGTCATTGATGACATTCTTATTGGAAAGATATTGTAGTTTTTTTTGTTCAGAGATAGAACTTAGTTTTAAAATCCTACATATAAACTGAGATTTAAATATTACACCAAAACTTTCCATCAATTTACATGTATTAAAGAAACTGAAAACATTCCAATCTTGTACAACTTATATTTTTAGTATCAAAAGCTATTTTTGTCAGCTATCGTAAACCATGAAAGTATACGACCACCCTGAATTAAAGCCCCACCAAAAATAAGTCCCATAAATTTGTTTACTTTATAATACACTCAACAAAATTAGTTGATTCTGATTGGACAAGAGGAGTACAATTAAATCCCAAATTGTACTCTGTAGAGTCCCAATTAGGTTGCTCAATTTTGTTGAGTGTATTATAAACAAAAAATCGCACAATCTATTCCTAAAATTCTGAATTGATAGATACTCGTGATGTTTTGAAAGTTCTCAAATTGGACTTGCCTAAAGGCTCCTCCAATTTCGAAACCTCACTCTTATCTATATAAATTCTAAATTGTACTCAAAAAGCATGATTTCCTATACAAGTTTACTGGTTTTTCAGTACTTTTCAAATTGTCTTTTATACGTGACTATATTTATTTATTTTATTAATAAATTAATACCTTTTTGGTGTTTTAGGGTATAATTCACCTGGTCATAGGTAGCCTTGGCGCAGATCCTATAGTAATAGGTGACTATTACGGTATCAAACTTGAGCATGTGAACACAGAGGAGTCATTCTGGCTGAACTGTAAATCAACAGTAGCTGAAGTCCGTGGTAAACATGAAGCATTGTATCCAGCAGATGAGTGGAAGTAAGTTGTTATCAATATGACTTTTTTTTAAATAAAATTATAAGGTCTCAATGAGATAGAACTTTTTGCATTGGGTATAGTGTTTTCCCATTTCAGACCACATTTCATTCCCTTGGAAAAAAAATTCTTTGTAACTTTGAGTTGTATCTGTATTTATGTGTCTTCTCATGAAATCGTTAAATAAAGAAATAACACTCTAGGGAATAATAGTTCTTAGTCTTTTTGTAGTGTACTGAGATATAGTTTGGGTACACATATGCATTTTTGTTCCTCATGTTTTATTTCATGCTGTTTTCTGAAGCTAGACCAGCACCCTATGAAGGAGGGGGATGTATGATAAAATTCAGTATTTCTTGCCTAGAGAGGCCAAAAGCAAGCAAAGTTTTAATGATGGCAGAGTATATCTATTTAAGTGGACAGTCAGAATATTATAACAAGATTATATAAGAAGATAATATTGCTTATTTATTTAATTTGTATTTTATTTCTTCCATAGGTATCTGCTTAGGGTGAGGTACCTCCCTGTAGATTATAATAAATTATACCAAACAGACAAAGTCACATTTTTCTATTTTTATGACCAGGTAATAATCACTCTTTATATTGGATAATTAATAGCTCATGTTTATGTTTAATGTGTGTGAAAGAAATAAATGCAAACTTTTCATTTTAGGTCAAAAATGATTATCTTAAGCATAAGAGTGATACTGAAGATCACGAGACTGCATTCAGATTAGGAGCACTGGAAATGAGGTGAGACTCACTCCATTCAACCATCCACCCATCCCTCCATATTTGCTTATCCATTACAACTATTGAAGCATTCCTCTGTCTGGACTGTCAATCCATCAGTCTGTCTGCCTATTCAATGTACCCCCCACAACCCACTTATCCATCCATCCTTTTCCATTTCATTATCTGGCCATATTAAATTTAGTGAATATAAGACTTTTGTTTTTTTCTTCTGATAAATTAGACGATATTTCAAGGACATGCCACAGATAGCTCTTGATAAGAAATCCAATTTTGAATACATAGAGTAAGTAGCAACCAATCTGTTTATGTTATACTGTACTTTCTTCAGCTATAGAGCGTTTTCACATGACGTCAGATATGGGGTGCCAAAACAATACATTTTCTATCTTCCGGGAATGAACTCTATTTTTATGCARATACTGTGCAGAAAGTTTCTATTGTTTATGGCTGCCTTCTCACGTGAGTGAAAAYGCTCTATATCTTTCACTTTTCTTATAATCATTTATGATTTTATGCCATTTTTAGAAAAGAAGTAGGACTTACAAAATTCATTCCAAAAGAAGTTCTGGACAGCATGAAGGTAGGTAGGGGGGATACAGCAATAGTCTACTCATATCTCTATTCTGGGGTCTCAGGCTTGATTCCTGGACTCAGCAACTAGAGTTTGATAGGTTTCTCTCTTCATTCAATTCTTTCTTTCTGGGTTCTACTGGTTCTCCTTCAAAATCAGTTTTAAATTTTTATTTTTAGTCCAAGGTTCTGCGCAAGACAATCCATGGCCACTTCAAGCAATATGCGTCCTTAACAGAGGAAGAGTGCTGTTGCAAATTCTTTGAACTTTTATCCAGAATTTACAGATTTGATGTGGAGACATTCAAATGCTCATTAGGGGTAAGAGCTTGAATGAAGTTTATCCAAGGTCATATGTTCATATTAGATCTATCTGAGGAATAAATTAGTGTTTGTGTGAAACATGAAAATGTACACTTGGATTCTTTCTGCAGTATCTCATTTTCTATTATTATATTGATATATAAATCTTATCAAAGGAAATTTATAAAAGCTATTGAAAGCAGTTTCATTTTCTAACACATTTCCATTTATTTTGCATTGTCATACTTGTAAAGCTTGCTATATTGTTTTACAATTCAGCATATAAACAAGTCACTCTATAAATATATCTTTTCCATTTTCCTTTTATTTTCTAGACTGGTTGGTCAATACCAGTTGATGTCGTAATAGGGCCAAGGGATGGAATCAGTTACAGAGCGGAACAAGGATCTATTGTATGTTTAGTTCTAATTATTTATTGCACAGGGTTCATAATCTCATATCAAATCTAATGTTCATTCAAACGAAAAATCAAAATGATAGACATCCAAATTATTGTCAATATTAATCCACGTGTTTTTTGAATGAATTAACTAATTAGCAAAGATAATAACAATACTCAAAAGCTAAAGGTTGCAGCTAGATAGTATTGCTAATTATAGGTCTCGCACTATTAAGACATGATTAATGAGGTGTTGGCAGAAATCCGATAAAGACTTTAGCACCAAGAACACTGACGCTTGTCAACAAACAAAAAACCTTATAACAGGAGAGGAGAGGATCTTTTTATTTTTGGTCCTCGGCATCGTGTTCGGTTAACTTGGGATCTGAAGAATCTTTTGGGTTTCGTTATTTTGACCTCATTTGTCATGACAAGTGTATTGATTCTTGGGCAAAGGGGTGTGATCCAGGGACTCATTTTTAATATATTTCAAAAATACAATATTACAATAACCCTTCTAACTATGTAACTAGCATAGTTATTCGCCATCCCTCGATTAAAGCTCTGCTCTTCAGTACCTGAGCTAGTTTACATTGTGATGTTATGTTTACAGATCACCCATATGGCTAGTTTCAACCAAATCCAATCTATATCAGTTACTCGTATACCACTTATACCCACGCCAGTCCAGACAGACAAACAAAAAGCTACTGTCAGCCTCAAAGTCTCTGGTGCTGCTGAGGTATGTAGGCATTTCCAGTGTTGATGGATATTCATATTTGGGGTTGGGGTTTATTTTTAGCTTGGTAACAAAGCTTTGGGTCATGGTGGATGACCTTTAGTGATTGTTATCATTTGTTTGGGCTTTATCCATGTGGTTTATAACATGGATGAGTGATTATATAAGTTAGGGGGAGGGACTGAAAAAAGGAATCTGAGGAAAAAAGCTTCAAATATTTAAAAGTAAAATTCTGAAAAACAAAAACAAAAAAAAAAATAACAAGGAAGCTTGTAACAGATATTGTCAAAATAAGTTATACTGAGTCTCTATAAGTTCTAGGTTCTTGCTTGATTCCATCAAAATTTTAAATATGAAAGTCAAGGAATAATTTTTTGAATTGAAGCTAGAACTGAAGAATAATCTAGAAAAACCTTCGCAGCAGTGAAAACAGAAACAAAAACTCACTGTTTCGTATGTGATACCGAGTTTTGTATCAGTCTGAGTTTAGATATGATTTTTAATTCTACACCAACTCAAATGTTCTCTTTTTCTTTTCTTTTTTCTTTTGTTTTGTTTTGTGTGTTAGTGTGTTTTTTTCTTGGCACAGTGAAATCAAAGTGTATAGAAAGATGTTAAATGATAGATGAGTTAACTTGATTGATTATGAACTTGAATAAACTTGATTGATGGTTTTTTATGTTGCAGTCCTTAGTATTTACTACATCATCGATAGCCAAAGCAGAGGAGATGGCTGATCTTATTGATAATTACTGCATGATTAATGGAGGCAGTAAACATTCACTAGTGTTCAAAAGACTAGGTAATGTAACCACTTTTTTTTTTCATTAATTTATTTTTCTTTCCTTTTTCAATTGCATTTTTTATTCATTTCACATTTATTTTCTTCACTTCTTTTCATGCTCATTTTCTGTCTTTGATCTTTTCTGGTTTCATTTTTCTTTAATTTTGTTTTTCATTTTTCATTTTCATTAATTTCATTTTCTTTAATTCTCATTTCTTCTTTCCATTTTTCTATTAATTTTATTCTTTCACTCTCCCTCACTTTTTTGACTTTTTCCAGGACTATAAATAATTATATATACTCTTTATGTCATATTTTAAAAGTAGCATTATATTGTGTTTCAAGGCTAGAARTAACAGCAGATCATTGGAAAATGTCCAGCCAGAATTGGAATTTTTCTGGTCAAATCAATGCCTTGCTGGTCATTTTGACCAGTAATGTTGAGCCATAAACAAGATATCACAAAACTCAAAGTAATGTACGGTCATCATGACCAGTCTGCAACTGATAGGATATTATTTTTAGCCTATTATAGTGTAGTACTCTTTTCCTAACATGTTATGGTTTATTATTACATGTTTTGGCTTAGACCCAGACAGAACACTTCCCTCAATCCCAAAAGAAGAAAAGAAAAGGTATTAAGTTATTATAAATACGAGTTTTGTTTCCTCTTAGCTAAAGAATAATATTTCCTTTCAAAATCTAACTGCTATTAGCTGCCACATTGTTTTTTTATGTTTTTTCCTTTTTGTCTTTAAGTCTCCATATTAATACTGTATTTGGGCTGACATAGTATTGAGATAAAAATAATCTTATGATAACCCCTTGTGTGTTTAAAGCTGTTGAGTTCATTGTCATAACTATTCATAATTCATGTTCATATTCCATTGAATTAAATGTACAGACTTCAGAGAATATAAACATCTTGATACAATATCATAAACTTTACATAAACAATTACCTTTCTTACTAAAGTGAATCTAGAAAATTGAACAGTGTATTCATTGTTTTGTCTTGTTGTGTACAATCATGTACAGTAATACTTTTAAATCTCTTCAATACAAAACACCTGACATCCATCCTGTTTTATAATTAATAATCTTGCATGGTCTTAATTTAGTTCCTTAAATTACTAAATTAATATTTGGTCTCCTGGTCCTTTTATTTAATCAAATAAATCCCATTCAATTATGAGAGCAAAGCACTCAAACCAGCTGGAAGATTCAGTATTGTGTTTATTCAATGTTATCTATGGCACTAAGGTACCTTAAAGTTTAGGAGATCTCCTTCTTCAGGATATTATTTAGGAGGAAAACTTAGTTCATTCATTCTCACAGCTGTAGTATTTTCTGTTGCCAAGTTTAATTAAGCAACACAAGACACATTTGTCTTCAAAAATGATAAATAGACTGTGTTGTATGAGATTCAAGCATAAAATGCTTTCAAACAAGTAAGAAAACTGTACCTTTGTTGTGTTTCAGAATTTATCATTGTACAATTTCAGTTTATTTTAGGGGTTTCAATCATAATGATTTATCACAATCATGTCATAAATACTTAGATTTTGATCAACTTTAAATTCTTACACATTTAGATTCTGTTTAGGTATTTATTTCCTTTCTGCTTTCTAGCTCACCTGTCCATCCTCCACTTAGAGCAACCCTCAGTGGAAGCAAACAAAATGTCACTAATAACACTCCAGAGAAGAGAGGTTCAAGAAGCTCTGTGGGAAGTACAGGCCGAACCAATGGAGGTACATATAGTATAACCTGTACATATAACCTTATTTATTAAGTCTATGCACTTGATTCTTGATCAAGCAACACAGCTTGCGATGGGGGATTTCACATGTCTATGTCTTACATGGGGTGCAATAATCATTTTCACAAGCAATGCTGAATGCAACCATGCATCTTGTATCTATGTCTGTGCCACGGACACCAATTTTCTATTGCTTGCTTAAAATCAGTTTGTTATATTTCTTATGGTTTCAGAATTTGATGACTATGCAGAGATTGTAGATGACGATGACTATGCTGATCCTATAGCAGGTAGGATTGACATCAAAACAAAATTTAATAACAACAACAACGACAGCAACTCTATTGGACAGTGATTCCAGTCAGGGTCAAGAAACTTGGTCCTAAGCATCATTGGGGGTCCCAATGTCTTGACAGACTATGAAAACCAAGACAAGTAGAATGGGAACTGGAATAAATTCAATTAACTTTGTTTATAGAGGATAACACTTGACAGTAACTCAACCAATAAACTCGTGGTCCTCTTTAAACGTCTCTAGTTGATAAGGGAGGGGATCGCGAAGGTCTAACCATTTGCATATGTAATTACAAAGGGAACACCTTCTCCTCTGTTATTTTAAGACCCTGAGTGTTGTTCCGGCCAAGGCTTGAACCACAGCCTCCTGCACAACAGACGGACACTCTTACCAACTGAGCTAACTAATATTTTGAATTCTCTCACATAAATTAGAATGAGAAAAAATGAATTGTAAAAGCTAATAACTATCAAAATAAAAAATAAAAATAAATGCACTCAATTAAAACAAAATCAATAAGAGTTMATTTCTGGGAATATGTTTTTTAAAACTACCTTAGAATAATATAATTTTATAAATTGTCACTGGCAAAGAAAGTAATAATTACTAAAGGAATGAACTTTATAAATGGGAAAGCAAAGGATGCTTATATTAATACCTACACTTTAAAATCTTGGTAACTTTATAATAACAGGAATACAATATTTTAAAAAGTGCTTATAATATTGAGGTAAATATTATTATTTTGATTAACTCGTAAAATGACAACATCACTCATTTAGCTACTTTATGCAGTGTGTTTGTTATATATATATTCAAAATATATAAAATGTCTAAACTAGTAGCACTTGTTATTTATGCTTTCAACAGCACGCAAACATCCTGTTCACAGTATATGGTATCGTAAAGGTAACAATAAACTACTATTAAACTCTTAAAATGCTTCTAAAATTGTCAAGAAACTCCTTATCTCCTTATGAAGCTTTTAGACAAAGTATTCAGAGACAAAAATAAAAGGTTCATTTGATTGGTAAAATGAACAGAAATAAAATTGAAAATAAAAATAAAAATATGAACTTCAAGTTGGAATGAAATTTGAAATGACAATCAATTTGATGGAGAAGAAATCCTCGTTTACAGTAATGATTTTTTCCCCTAACGGTAGCGATAATAGCAGAATTTGAATTTATTAAATTTTGCTTTTAAATTTTCACAATTTCATTCTAAACTATCAAAATGAATTCTTCAAAATACTTGAAAAACCTAAAAGTTGATAAAATCCTGGCTCAAAAGCTTCAGATAATTTTATAACTTTAAATTTATCAGTATCAGTAAAATGACAAAAATGTTTTTAATTTTGTAGTTTTCAGATTATAATGACATTGTTAGCATTTTTATTAAATTTGGCTCTTAAATAAATAGATATTTAAAAAAAATAGTTTTAATGCTTAATTCTAAAACTTTTATTTCTTAACTGAAAATAAAGGACAAATAACTTGTGAATGCTCTTTTTTACAGTTTGGTTCAGTGACCACAAATAATTGTTCCAAGCTGAGACTGGAGTTGCTGCGCATGATAACTGTAGTTTTGCTATGTGTRGAAACTCCAACCTCGACATGAAACTATTATTCATGGTCAATGAACAGAACTGTAAAATGGATTATTGTTGAGAAGGCAAGCAATAACTACTATAAATTGTTTCTGATATTTTAGCAAAAGATTATGAAATCCCAAGAAGCAAGATTACATTAGGTTTGACTATAGGTCATGGACAGTTTGGTGATGTACATCGCGGCACCTACAGTACTTCTGTAAGTCTTTCATTCGTAAAGCATTGTTTTTCCTTAAATTCAAATTGTGTAGTTCCAAAAATTATCCATACCCCCCTCAAGGAGAAATTTTTTTAAGACACCCCCCTACCCCCTGGAAATTCCAATTTATTTCCAGACAATCTCTGTAATACCTGTTTTTTCTCTGACCCCCCCACTCTTCGGAAATTCCAAAATCCTCTGTGGGGTGGTTATGGATAATTTCTGGAACTACAGTTTATATTGCTTATTTTGTAGTACTCTTTTTTATAGTTCTTTTCAGTGACCACGAGTAATATTTCCAAGCAGAGGCTGGAGTTGCTGCACATGATAACTGTAGTTTTGCTATGCACAGAAACTTCAGCCTTGATTTGGAACTATAATTCCTGGTCACTGAACAGAACTGTGTTGTAAATGGCCAAACTTCTATCAGGTTGATTACTGGTGACCTACTGATTGAGACTATATTTTCGCTAATTATGGGCATCTTTAACTTGGATCTTTATTGAAAAGTGCAAATCTATTTGTCGTTTATTCACTGCACTTATTACTTTTTTTTAAATTTGGATTWAAAAATGAGATAAACGTTATTTCGTATACATTTGAATTTTAGGGTGATTCCAGTATACAAGTTGCTATCAAGACGTGTAAGAGCACAGAAACAAGAGAAAAATTCCTTGAAGAAGCATGTAAGTACAAAAGATCAGTGAACCTCACACTTACGTTACTCTTTTATTACCTTTGTATTCTGGTCTTCATGATTACATGACGCCAAAGAACGAGGCCAGAATTTCAGTGCCRATTTCTGGTGTTTGGTTTTTGGTCATGTTTCTGACTGAATAAATCTTAAAAGCCCAGCAATCTGGGGTTGTTTATGTAGTGATGATGTCAATATTTTGAGTATGCCATTAATCATTCATTCTTTTTTTTCCTTGAAGACATAATGAAGCAGTTTGACCATCCACACATCATCAAACTTATTGGAGTTTGCATGGAAGAAAATTTCTTTATCGTCATGGAACTTGCTACATTTGGAGAGGTAAAACCACTCAATTAACATGTATGATATACTTGGTTATTCCATGTGCCATTAAATGTGAGTGAGCAATGCATCATTCTGAGAGGAGGCTGAGGGTACCTTTCTTCTTCGAGTTGCAGCAGATGGACTAATGTTACTAAATATATTTTTCAGATGAGGAGTTACCTACAGAAACACCACCACCAGATCAATCTAGAGATATTATTGAATTACATCTTTCAGCTTAGTACAGCTATGTCTTACTTAGAGAGCAAAAACTTCGTACATCGGTGAGTGCATACTTCCATCCATTCATTCATTCAGTCAGTTTATATATTACTTCATTTGTTAACCTTGCTTGTTTCGCATTTGCCATTTTTCTTTTTATCTCAGTCATCTATTTGTCCATCCATATTCATTGATTTCCCATTCATAAATTCATTTATTCAGTAATTGTAAACGCAATGCTCATCCTTTCTTTCATTCATATTTTCATCTCCAGTGATATTGCAGCAAGGAATGTCCTCGTCTGTTCACACAAATGTGTAAAGCTGGCTGACTTTGGTTTATCAAGATGGATAGAGGAACAAACATATTACAAAGGTAACAGTCCTAGATTGGA